CTTGTTTCCTATCGTTTGATCGTTTTTAACATTCTTAAAAAAAGGTGTATTAAAAGACTAAAAGTATCACGGCAAGCAGGTTAACAATTGTCACCAAACATGTTGGTCAGCTTTCTATTACTGATATCAAAATATATGAATGCAAAAGACTATTATTGTTGTCAAATCAAGTAATAAATATATTACTGCTGCTCAACAGAGTAGTCCTTCGACTCGTCACAAATTGCATCCATTACAGTAATATCCATCTTTAATACACATATGTCACTGAGTTTGTCATATGTATGCTTCATATAATTATCATCTTCTTCAGCTAAGACTCTTTGGTATTGACGAATTTGAAGTCCTAGCAGATCTATAGACAATCGTAGAATACCTTAGTCATTATTCAAAAGCTAATATCCAAGATACATGGCTTATTTAAGAAGGTATGGACTCTACTGTTGCGCAAGAGATAGAAATATTGGTGGTTTAAACGCGAAAGAACAGTCTAACGACCTTTCGAAATTTATGCTTCGTCATATATTAATTCAATCTCCGACTTCACTATCATGTTGTCAACCCAAAGTCAATCACAAGATTTTAGACCGTAGTGTAAGCCCGTTCAAATTGAATGGGGTATCTCACAAACACATGATTGACTACCTCTATGATTAATAATAAAGCATGATTCAGTTAGATAAAGCATACTGTGACCAAAAATAAACTTTAGATTTTCATAGGCTGCTTATGATGCTAATAATAGTGAAATGACTGAATAAGTCATGGGATCATGATATTCCCTATTGATTTATTATTAATTCATGCCTGTCAAAAGACTAATTGCACATTTAAAAAATCATTTACTATATTTTAATTCTATGTCACAGGAAACAAAGATTATGTGCTACCTCTCCTTTTTATTAAAAAAGAAAGCCACAGTCTGTTTTTATCACAATCAATTAAGTAATCTCTTAATAGTTTTCTACTTGATTTAGCATCTGTAATTTGCCAAGCAAAGCTTAATCATAGCCTCCAACCAACTTTTTATGCAATCTTTTTCTTTGAATGACTTTCTCACCGGACCAAATACTCTTTTTCATTTTCTTATTACAGATATGAACATCATCCATCAAATAAATAGAATATTCTGGTAGTAGCACATGTTCCTAAGGATACACTGATGTGTGTGCGCTGGCTTTGTTATTTTGATTCGAAATGAAATATCTGATAACGATCTTTTTCATCAGCTTGATGATTTGATATGTCTTACTTTTTGATTAAAGTCATTAACCAATAATGAAATGGTTCTCGACCCTGAAACCAGTGTCCCTCCCCCCTTTTCTTTTCCCCTCCCCTTACATTTATCTGTTCTATCAGGGTATCAATATGGTTTTAAAGGGTGCTGCATCTACTGAGCGCCAAATAAACAATTCCAAATTTAGAAATTTAATTGACTCGCAAACCATTCTTATTTGTTCTAAAGACAAAGCGAACTGCTACCTAAAGAATGTTACAGATGAAGTCTGGCCGAACTTCTATCGAACTTTTTTTTTTTCTAGAAACATTCTATCAACATTTTCAAGGAGAAAATTCTTTTGCGCCAGCATTGTAATACGATCATGTAAAAAGGGTGAACAGATTTCTCTAGAAGCTTTTTTGTATTTTATATCTTTTTCAACGTGGCAACTCGTAATCACCTGAGGAAGGGGACCTTCTTTCATTCTCATACAATAATTCTAGACCCTTGAATTAAAAGCGACAAAACAATGAAATACATGAAAGGTTAAACCGATTAGCCTACTGAAGTGCCCCATCGTTTATTTAAGGAGTTCAAAAGCGATTGGCTGTAAAAGATGGACACGATTGTAAAAAAAAAAAAATATCATGTGCTTTGCCAAGGATAAAGGAATGAACCGTGTCGCGAGTAATAATTTGTTTTGCACATCGATATCAAACAAACACACATTGTCCCATGACTGTTGCCTTGTACAAGGAATTTGAAAACAGTTGGAAGGGTCCCGGAGTAAATTTTACACGAGTGCATAAAGAAAAAAGAAGGGAGAAAGATAAACTCGATCCATTATTTCCGGCTAACGACAAGAAATGATATATATATATATATATATATATATATATCAAGATCAAGTGGTCTATAGAACATCCAAAAATAACAGCATAATAATATGATTTTATTATAAATGAGCGCATTCAATCAATTTTTTCATTGAATGGGGCTCTATTAAAAATATCCATTTTTCTTAATCTGTCAAAAACCCGCTGAGCAACCAAGAGAAATAAAAAGAAAGTCGAGTGGTTCTTTCATGACTGGGTAACCACGGGAACCGGCTTGGACAACATTCACGGTGCAACCAAACGAGTGCAAGTGTCTTTAATGAACTGTCTTCAATTCTACATGTGATAAATAATACAGCAAAGTTCAACACGAAGAAGAAAATAAGAGTGAATCTGGAATGCCCCTATTGGTCTCTGTTACCAGGAAAGGAAATAATTTGTTGCTGTAGAAACGAAAATTTTTATTAATTTCGGACAATTGGTTCCTTCATCTCCTTGATTTAGGTTATTCCGATAAACGCTGCTTATAAAAAAGCGGCCAAGAAAACCCCCTTTCCGTGCTTTCTTTCTTCTTTACATTTTTTTTTTTAAAAATCATGGATTATTTTGCTTACAAAAACAAAAAGAGAATAAAAGAATCTCAGTTATTTAATTCACTACCTTCGACGCCTACTATACTTATTCATGATACCGGAAAGTCAAGCTTTAGACCCACTTGTATAAGATACTCAACCTCATTCTTTGATAAAGAACCATCTCAGTCATTATCATCATTATCATCATCATTACCATCACCGCCAACAACGCCTCAAGTTCCACTGATACTACCATCATTATCATTACCATCACCATCTGCATTATTTAAAAGACGATTCAGCAATCCGCCAAAGAGAGTAATATCACCTAGACTTCATGTATTGCTCGTAGATGATAACGCTGTCAATTTACAAATACTATCGCGATTACTGAGCACACATATGCCAGATGTGTTTGAACATATAGAGCTAGTAAAGAGTGGAGTAAAAGCATTAGAGTTATTAAGATGTAGACCGTTCGATTTGATTTTGATGGACATTGACATGCCTATCCTCAATGGTGTTGAGACAGCACGCCATATTCGCTCATCCACCGAATTCGATATCCTGCTTCATAATCGTAATATACCCATCGTTGCTGTCACCACAAATGATACCAAGGAATGGCGCGAGTTGTACACTAATGCCGGCATGGTAAATATAAATACAATTGAAACTCTCTTTGACATGGGTTACTCATACTCTTTTAGAATGGATGCATAGGTAAACCAGTGTCACTTAATGATTTGAAGTCAACCCTGTCCAATGTCTTAGATCTTGATATACCTCAATCACCATATACACCAGAATAATCAATGCATACGTATCCTACACACATCCCCCTTATAGACTTGTAAATAACTTGCTTGCTTCCCCCCTTTTTACTGTTTGAAAATAGTAAATACAAACCCCCTTTTTATGTTGTAAATAATAAACAAATGTGTTATTGCTACACGATAATTTTTATTTAAATGAATTACTGATGTGTAACTCTTTGAAACGTTTCTTTATCTCCTTGATGAATGCATGGAGCAACTCTATTTTCTTCTATTTTTTCTATTCTACAAAGGGGGTTTCAGTTCATTCTATCCATATTTTTTTATTTGTTATTTAAAGTTTTTGCATTCGTGGAAATAAGAAGAAGACGGAGCCAACCGTGTGGCTTTATTTATCTCACATAGATCGGCTTCGATTGAGATTAAGGAAAAAATAAAAATAAAGACCGTTCTTGCGGCTGTATTATTATTTTGGCCCGTGATGGTTTTGAATGGATGTGATTTACTTATTTTGACTCGTGATAGATCATTTGAGAATAACTGATTTATAGAGAGGCTTTCAATTTGATATCATTTTTCGATATACCCTTAGATAAGCTCTATAATACATTTTTCTCTTTCTCTAGTTCTCCTATTTCAAATTTTGACAATCAAATAATCGAGATAAACAAGGATAATCTTGCATAGGGAGTATTTAGAGTTATGTACCTGCATAACGTCCTGCTTAGAAACACTTTTTTGTGCGGAGAATACCCACAACTTAACTATTTATGCAGCCATACAAGTAAATATATGAAATGTAGAAAAACCACTGGTCACTTTCCCATTGAACAAGAAATGGGGAATCTAGTTTGCATTTAAGAAGGAAAAAGAATTTCCAAAAAGAATTCCAAGCAATCTGAGATATTCAGCGTTGGTTTTAGTTTTTTTTTTTCGATGGTTTGAGTTCATGCAGTCTTTTCTAACCTATTCAAACCCCCCCTCTAAATAGAAGCTAAAAGAATAATACTTCCATGACATTACTTTAGGGAATGTTTTACTTTGACAATGGTGCGCATTATTAAAATGTAGATTTATTGCCGTGCTTTCAGCGATTAAATGTGGCTTCAATAAATAGGGTATTTTATGAGTGTGATTAAATGAATAGTCATGTTCTCTCATTCTAAAGCTTTGTTTCTTGTCTTGGCGTATTAGCTTGAGGATCTAATAAATGTCAGTTATAAGCCCTTCTTTTATACCAACACATACCCAGCCAATTGCGCATTCTATCAAGTGAACCCATGGCGCCAGTGTGACCGGATTCATTGTCATTTCCACTCACTTTGGATCCACTTCCTGCGGCCGCTGCTGCTGCTGCTGCTGCTGCCGCTGCCGCCGCCGCCGCCGCTGGAGATGTTGCTGTGGCTGATTTGCGGTCCATCATGAGGTAATGCATCTGCATCCTTAACCCATGACAGACGGCTCTTATACTCTGCAGTTCTTCCTGTAGCCGAAATGTTTCCGTCATCAAGGCCATATTTTGTTTTAGTTCCAGAGAAGCGAGATTAGCCGATAGCGTCTCCAATTCAGTTGTCACTCTTTGATTCTCAACCATTACAGATTCATTACGAGCTTCTTCGGGTATCATGTCTAGATCAGGTGAAAAGTGGCTAGGAAACATCGTGCAAAGTTGATCAAGAACAGAGTCCATGCGTTGCTGCATTTCGTATTGCTGGCATTTGAGCGACTGATTCTCTTTAGAAAGCCTCAAGATATCTTCTCTCAATGATCTCTCTGTTTGTTGTTGCTGGTGTAGATATCCCTTCAATGCCTCGTATGGACAGTTGGCGAGATGGTCAGATAAATCTTGCCTCTCCCCTTTCCAAGAGCAGCCAAAGTCGCGATAGTTGCAGTCTAATCTGTATTGAGGACATTCATCAATATGAGAAGTGTGCTCAAGTCGAGACCGAGATGTTTTGCAGTAAGTGCATTCTATAATTTCTGCAGGACAAAGATCAAAATGGTTCTACATATGCTTTTTAGTCCCTTCTATCCTATGGATCCTTTCTTGTCTGTGTATGTTTTTTCTACCTGTAACTCAAACACCTTTAGTTTCTTTTTACACATGAAGCATTCAGATGTTCTGAACTGGCACTTTTCCGCGTGTGAGCCGAGATCTCTCTTGAGAAACAGTTCTTGGCACTCTTCCAGCTCACAACAAGTCATCGTATACTGACAATCGTTTTTTATGTGAGACTCTATCAGCTGTCTTTGACAGGTGAAATCACAGCCTTCTTGTGTACAATGCACTAATAATTCATTCACCATGTTTGAGATTATTTTGATTGCAGGCTGTAGCTCATGAGATATGACCGCTCTATCAATTGGACACAAGTTTGATGATTCAAGTGCTTGTTGAATGCATTGTAAACAAAAAGTATGTCTATTTTAAAATAGAATGAGCTATTGAGACAATGTGAATAAAGTGCTGTTGTACCCGCAAGGAGTGGTCACTGGATCAATAAATGGAGTCTGACATATACAACAAATGAGGTTTTCATTCACTCTTTCCACATATTTTACAGCTCTCAAGTCAACAATAGACATGTTTAGCAAAAGACCAAAAAAAAGGCAGCACTTTTCCCAAAGAGCAAATTGGGGGCCTGTCTGATGAAGCATAAATTGCACGTGATTCGTTGAGCACAAAACTGATGATTGTAAAAATACAGCAATCTCTTTTGTTTTTTTGTTTTTTTGGAACAAGCGTAGTAGCTTGTAAATCTTTGTTTCCCACAGAGATGCATCAATGGTGATTAAGTATTTTGCCAAAGGATTTCCTCAGTGCATTATATTGGGTAGATGTTGTAGTTGTCTTTTTTTTGGGCCATAAGTAGCATTTCGATATTTACAATAGAATCAATCAGATAATTTCGTTTAAAGAGCCTGTGTCTTACATCATTGCTGTTGACAGAGAAAAAGAGAGATCAGCTAAAGCGAATTTTTAAGGGAGCAACTTATTCATGGTTAAGGCTATTATAATTGAATTTTCATTTGGTGCCTTTCTTTTTATCATTTACTAATGCTAATTAAGACAAGTACAAAAAGGCTGTTTGTAAGTGAAAGCAGAATATGATAAGCATCCAAAGGCTAAGGTTTTTCTCTGGGCGCTTTTGTAATAGTTCAAGCATGCTCAATAAAATGGCTAGTGTAGCATGTGTTGGGTTAGTAGAATATAATCTTCAATAAAAGATGAACCATTGCTAAGTTTCTATCTTTGGAAAAAGCCATGGTTCACCGTCAGTCAATGCTATTTCCAAGTTGCTCTTAATGACTATTTATAATCATACTTCCTCATTTAGGGAAGAGATAGGGCGCACGTTGTAAATAGATAGTGTGCAGTACCAGAACCGACTAATCAACTTAATAAAAGGTAATTCAGTTGTGCGTTATATAGTTCCTGACTATTTTATTTTTTTTATGTGGGTATACTTTTAACAAAAGGAAGATTTCTTCAGACAAGATGCTCGTGGGAAAGATTTGAAAAGGATCAGATATTGAAAGATATCACATATTCCGCTATGCCTTTGTGCTGATTTGGTTTTTTCTCTCTCTATAGACCTGAGTATGGTAACAGCTATCCATGGTTACTGTGGCTAGATATGAGAGACTTTAGATTGAGTGTGATTAACGTCAGTAAGTGAGAAATGAAATCGATTGATAAAAATATGAGATATTAATGTAAACATATAAACATGAGTATCTGTAGGCATAAGTTATGAATAAAGCAAGGTATTTTTTTTTCTGATTTGAACAAGTAGATGATAAAGTATACATGGCCTGTTTATAGTTGCAAAGACTGTATTTATCAAAGACGATGGATCGTATCTATGCAGACAAGGCATGGGATCGACGAAGGCTAAAATGGGTAGAGTCTATTTGAAATTAAGAATGATATTTTGGCTGCCTTGACGACAAATACTGTGTATTGAAATATGATGTTCGCGTAACCAATTATAGATATACATGTGGCCTTTAAATTAATGCACCTATCAGAGAGCATTGACGTTGTGTATATACCAGCTAATTCAAGAGAGTTGTATGTATTTAAGGAAAGGTATCCAAGGATGTAAGTTAGAGGAGATATTTAAGCGTCCTAATAATCCTAAATTGGTTGAAAGGACAAGAGGGATTTGAGTGTTTGACCTTGAAAAGCGGTCAATTGTACATCTTTTCAAAGGGAAAGTCATACACAAAAATGAAGCCACTGGCGGGAATATTAGACAAAGGAGCGGAGCATTAAGAATATATACAAGATCCTTTTTTAATAAAGCAACAATGGCAAGCACGTCTTGAACATTATCGTGAATTACTGTTCCTCTCTCTCTTTTTATCCCACCAAGCTTTGAGATGCTTTGGAAAAAAGGGAGTTTTATAAGGTGACTGTTTCCTTTAGTCATAGAGAAAGCGTATATTTATACTCAAAAAGATTCCGCTGTTTAGATGAAAGACATATGTAGACTAAAGATGTGACTAGCAATGATGTATTTAGTTTATAACCATAGTTTAAGGACCATTTTACTATAGCCATATATGTATATAGTAAAAAAAATATAGAATAGTATGTTGATTTTCACTCTATATCATAAGCCACTGAAGTTGAATAGAAAAAATACTTCTATAGCTTATACAGCCACACATTCATCCATATGGATAATGGCTTTCAAGTCTAGTTCTTTTTCTATACATCTTTAGTATATAAACAGAATGCATACAGATGTATGTACACGACTGTATATGTATGCATATTTATATGTGATGAACGTAACACTTTAAGTAAATGACTGCCACAAGGATTTGAGATGCCGACCTTTTTTTTTTTTCACTAGAGACGACAAATAGCCTTGCAGGCAGTCTATTATTTTTCTCCCTTTTTTCTCTCTTATACAAGTTTAATACTTTTTATTACTAAAATGGCCAAGGAAAAGGTTACCAAGAAGACCAGTAAGTTATCTTTAACACAATTAATCCATTCATCGAACTCTCCTTACTTTACCCAAAGAAAGTGGGAGGAGAAAGAAGAAGAAGGGCGAAGTGGGCATAAGAAAAAGCGTGTCACTAATAATTTTTTTCCCCCTATCATCATCCATTAGCCAAGAAGATGTCCCCATATAACAACTTCATGAAGGTATGTTTGTATATAAAAATGGCATCATTGAAGGATCAATGAACTTATTTCATCTAGACCGAACTTGCCAAGGTCAAGAAGGAAAACCCTGATATTGCTCACAAGGACGTAAGTTGCAAAAAAAAAAAAGAAAAAATTTAATGACGTTGCGTACGCGTATTTTTTTTACTTATCAATTATATGTTATAGGCTTTCAAGAAGGCTGTTAGTATTTGTTTTTCATTGAGATTAAAATGATACTAAATACAATGAATATAGGCTGAAAACTGGAAGAATGCTAAAGAAAACCCCAAGAACAAGAAGGACGATAAGGAAACTGCTGCTGCTAAATAAGTCAATAAATACTATTCCCTTTTTTCTCTCTTTATTAATTTGTCATATAATCAAAAAAAATTATCAAAGTGTGAAGATGGGGTTTATTATTATTATTATTATTATGGGATCAATAACAAACAGTTTAGCTTTTTTTTTTTTATTTGATTTTCTCTTCTCCTTAATGAAAGCTTATTATGTTTACTCGTTTGTATCTCTCAAAAAGATAACATCATAACTACTATAGCTTTAAAAAAAACAGTTACAATAATATATATACACATATGTTGCATGATACTTTTATGATTTGACTCTGTAGCTAATGTATACATATGTATAAATATATGTGTGTGTGAGATATTCTGGACCAAAAGTCAAAAGTACCTGACACGTATATTGGTGTGACCTATTCACATTAAAGTGCGCGCACAAGTAACTCGTAATATCAATATTCATTTATTGTATGTAAAGATCATTATGTGATAAATGCTTCTTTTATTGATAAAAAGGGGGTCTGTTTGTATTTTGTGTTTGCTTGAGATGATTAAATGCAGACGCACGAAAGAATGTACATACTAGTGATGTCTTCTTTTCTATCCGTCGTAGCTTTTCAATAATATTTATTAATTCTTCATCGTTCATTTGAGAAGCACACGCTTTCAGCTAAATAATGTTATTAAAACATGGGTTTCTTGGTTCTTTTTATGTACTTTATTTATATTCTCAACAAGGTGTTCTGCTTCATTCAATATAGCATCTTCATATGTTCGCATCTCTTTCTAAAAAGAAAGAAAGAAAACAATGCAAAAATCATTGAATAGATCATAACTGTGACTGCTCGGTCACTCTTTCTTTTTCCTCTACATGTCTTCTATAGCAGCAGCAGCAGCAGCAGCAACGACAACGGCTGTAGCAGAGCCATTAACTATGTTTATTGTTGTTAGAAAGGACCTGGCAAAAGTATGAATACATTAATGTATATTGTACATGACTAATCTTTACATTAGAAACTTCAATGGCCCACTGGCAGGTAAATAGGAACACAACTACAAAACCAAAGCTCGAGTTTATTCAAAACAAATTAGCGTGATGACCCAAGCTTGTCATGCAGCAACAGCCATTCTTCACATAACACGTGAGGATAAGAATACCCAAGAATACCTTGCTGATTTAGACAATATGCATAAAGTCGTATTAGAAGTAAGTAAAGTTCAATTCTTTTAGCCTCTATACTTATTTAAAAATAGACAAAGAACGAAGGCAGTTTAGATAAGCTTGCAGACGTCCTTTCACAACATCAGATACCATACAAAAAATGGATAGAACAGCCCGAGAATATCCCGACTGCATTGGCAACAGCTCCTCTTCGTGGCAGGTCTCCTGAAGTGCAAGAAGCCTTTAAGAAATTTTGTTCTCTATACAGATAATGCATTTGCCCTATATCTGTGGCTTGTTTGTGTATTTATTTTTTCCAACAATAAAATTACATGTTGACAGCAAAAAGTCTCGCCTTCCGTTTGAGAAACCGCTGTTTTTATAGAACCATGTCAACACAAGAGATTGATATATCACAATTCAATACAGTAACAGAAGGAAAAGCAACGATTCTTTTCCCAAAGAATAATGAAGTGTTTTATAATCCTGTTCAACAATTCAATCGTGACATGTCTATTGCTGCCATTCGTACATGGAGTGAAATCTATAATAATGAAAAGGCAGCACGTATAGAAAAGAAATTAGCTAGAAATAAAGGTAAATAAAGACAAGATGATATAGATATATCAGGTTTAAAATATGGTAAATAGACGAAAAGTCAAGAATAGCTCTTGAAAACGTAAGTCATAGAACAAAAAAAAAAAAGATAGAAGCATATCAACTTATCCATTTTAGACGCTGGAAAAGATCAAGAATTCAAACAATTTTACCATTCTTGAGGCATTGGGCGCTAGTGGTTTAAGATCTATTCGTTATGCCAAGGAGATCCCCAAATTAAAGCAGGTAGTATGTAATGATATCGAGCTTGATGCTGTTGAATCTATCAAACGTAACATGCAATACAACGGTCTGACTGAGGACTTGGTAAAGCCTAATCATGGTGACGCCATGCGTGTGATGTATGAGAAAGTTGGCACGGATGAAAAATTTGATGTTGTCGATCTGGATCCTTATGGAAGTGCGGCGCCTTTTGTTGATGGTGCAGTACAGGCAGTTGCTGACGGTGGTTTGTTGTGTGTGACGTGTACTGACTTGGCTATCTTGACTGGATCAATGCATCCTGAAACATGGCAAGTATATCGATGAAGGGAAACGATCAGAAAGGATTAACGGATCTGTAGTTATGGTAAATATGGAGGTATGCCTCTGAAGGGTATGTTTGCCCATGAAATGGCACTTCGCTTAGTCTTACAAATGCTGCAAACATCGGCGGGTCGATACAAACGTCACATTGTTCCTCTTGTCTCTTGTAGTATTGATTTCTACTTGCGTGTTTTTGTTCGCGTGTTCACATCACCTCAAGAAGTCAAAAAGGCCGCTAGCAACATGGCAATCATTTATGAATGCACAGGCTGTCACGCATTCTCGGTGCAGCCTTTGGGCAAGATTAGTGTGAAAGATAACGGCTCAGAGAAACATACACCAGGTACAGGTCCCGTTGTGAATGGCTCATGTGAGCACTGTGGCTATAGGCATCACGTAAGACACACTTGTAGAAATTAAAACAATGCACCAATATGTTTTGAATAGATCGGTGGCCCTACTTGGGGTACAAGTATTCATAATGCAGAATTTGTAGAAAAGATGTTACAGCACGTCAAAGAGAATGAGTCAGAATATGGTACGAGTGCACGTATGAAAGGCATGCTGACTGTCATCAAGGAAGAAGTGAATACACCCTTTTACTGGACCTTGGCATCTCTCTGTGGTGCTCTTCACTGTAACAGCATCCCAATGATCGATCTTTACTCTGCCATATTGAATGCAGGATACAACGTATCTTCATCACACTGTGCGAAACAATCTGTCAAGACGGACGCACCTGCATCTGTCATGTGGGATATAATGAGGGCTTGGGTCAAGAAACATCCTGTGGTCATGAAGAATATTGCCGAGAACTCACCTGCTCGAACGATTCTTGGCAAGGAACCTAGTATCGAAGTCAACTTTACAAAGCACCCTAAAGCTGTATCTCAATCTAAATCTGAAGGTTTGGTTCGTTATCAAGTTAATCCTACACCAAATTGGGGTCCCAAGGCAAGAGCAGGACAAAAGAGAAAGACAGAAGAATTGTCTTAGATAAAGCCTTGTATGCTTATAAATAAAAGAAAGAAAAATACCTATCGTCTCTTTATACGTCTATCTTTGAATCTTTATGTAACTTTCTGTCTCAGAAAGGGGTCATACACACATACTTATTTTTTATATCCAGACAGACGTGAAGAATAATAGCTTATAAATATATATATTTATATATATGAATAGCATGTTGTCAGTAAGGCTGTATCATAATGTCATTCACTGCATAAATTTACATACTTTTTGAATATAAAAGAGAGAGAGAAATAAAGGGAAAAGGTGATATCTTTTTTAGGCAATGACCAGCCTTTCTCTTTTTGTAAACTCGCCCTACTCTTATTTTTATTTTTTCTTTCAGTTTCTTTTACTCTTTAGGTTAAATAAAACATGTCAACAGGTCATCATAAATTTCAGTCATTTCAAACAATGACTGGTGCGAGTACAAGAGACCAAACTGTTGAAGAACGTTATGGCATTCCTGAGAACTTCTTGGAAATTGAAGTCAAGAATCCTCAAACACATGGTAATGAAATGAATATGTGTATGAAAAAGGTTGTAGAATAATAACAATAACTCTCAAGGCTTTGGACGTAAAATGTATACTGATTATGAAATTATCTGCAGAGTAAGTTTCAGAGAGAGAGAGAGAGAGAGAGAGAGAGAGAGAGTAACAAAGCATATATGCTAACTCTTTCCTTACAGACCAATATTCCTGCCTTTAAATTAAAACAATCTGCAGTCCGTAGAAGATATAGTGATTTTGAATGGTTTCGGGATGTATTAGAACGTGAATCTACTAGAGTGAACATCCCTCCTTTGCCAGGAAAGGTCTTTACGAATAGATTTTCGGATGAAGTGATTGAACAACGTAGAGAAGGTCTGGAAAGATTTTTACAAATGTAAGTGGGTGGTTCATTGTTTAAATATCAATTGATCTGACTTTATGAAGTGTTGCTGGACATCCTTTATTACAGACTGGCAGTAAAGTCCTTGCTGCCTTTATTCAAGATCCAAACTTTTCTCGTGATAGCTACAACTATTAAGCTTGTAGTATCTATTACCCTTTACTCTTTTCCCCTTTCCTCTTTCTTTTAAGTTGACATTGACATGTTAAAACTAGCAATACTGTAATAAAACTATATATCATACACATTCAGTTACTTGCATATTAGATGATCATTGGTTGCTGCAAATCAAATAAAGGAGTTGATATGGTTACTGGAAATTAAATATGTTAACATATGGACGCTACACATATTGATGGGTGTGGACTTGTCCTTGAAATTGCACTAAAGTATCGACAAATATCTCTCAAGAGAGCTGAAGGACGGATTTTTTGCGGGATCCCGTGACAATCCATGGAAAACATAGGCATTCGTTCTTTTATTATTTAACAGCAATGTAACAAAGATGGCGGCATTGTTATGTTTTCCTTTTGATTAAACGTCTTAAAAAGGAAATTCCAAGCTGCCAAGCAAAAGTCATATCCTTGAACTCATTTTATGTCTAAATAATTTTTTACTGCTGTCTGAAATCATTTTCACGCTTGTCCAAATTTGAAGTAATGGTTATTCCCCCCCCCCCTCCTCCTTTTTTAGATGTCTCAGATATCTTTGTTTTTTTATGAACAGTGTTAGTTTGGCATACATTGACGGACTTGCTTTAAAACGGAGGAGAGCGGGTTTATGCCTTTGCATATTTATTCCCTTTAAAAATCATGTATCGAACCAAGCATTGCAAAATAAAAAGAAGGGCGAAACATTCTGCGCAAAAGATAGAATTTGGCAAGTTTCTAAACAACAAGAAGAACGGAACCAATGCGGTGAGATGAGTCAAAAGATACGAATTTGAATGGTTAAGCCTTTGTGACTTTTATTACTTCGGATCTGTAGGATGTCCGCTTAACGGTCCCCCGTCAACATGAATTTTTCATTTCTCTCTTTTTTTTTATATATACATATATTTAGATTCATAGAGAGACATGGCCTCTATAACAACTACACAACGTTCCTTTGGTGAAATAGACAAGGCAACAGCAACAACAAGTGCTCTAAAGGCAGTATCAAAAGAATCAAAATCCTATGTCCACTTTGTAGCAGGAGGGTAAGCTGCTTATATTATTAATTATACATAGTGCTGATATATCTATACTCTTAGTGTTGGTGGATTAGTTGGTGCTGTATGTACTTCACCGCTTGATGTGGTCAAAACTAGACTTCAGGTATGTCAACAATTTGATTTAAAAATAATAAAAAATAACCATTCTTGGACGCAGTCTACATTTTATCAACAAACAATGAAATCGAATACACTTCACCAAAGCCGATTCTTACTAGGCCATTTTATAGAAACAGGAAGATTATTAATGTATGAATTTGCAACCTTTTAGAATGAACAATGAAAATAACATGCATATAGGCGAATTAATCAAGTAGAAGGATTTCGAGCTTATTTCAAGGGACTGGGTCCTAACCTGATAGGTGTCATTCCTGCAAGATCTATCAACTTTTTCACTTATGGGAATGGAAAGAGAATATATACCGAACTGAACAATGGTAAAGAAACAGCTGGTGTTCACCTTATCTCCGCAGCCACAGCAGGTAGTAACAAAAATTATGCAAAAAAAAAAGAAAAAAAAAGTAACAAATTTCCAGGTATTGTCACTGCCACCGCAACCAATCCCATTTGGGTTATAAAGACAAGATTACAGCTTCAAGGGAATGGAGCTCGTCGATACCAAGGCAGCATAGATTGTTTATATCATATTGTCCGTGAAGAAGGCATAAGAGGATTATACAAGGGTATGAGTGCTTCTTATCTAGGGGTGGCCGAAGGAACGATTCAATGGGTTATTTATGAGAATCTCAAAAAGAAATGGAGTACTTCGTCCAACAACAATATACAAAGTAACAAAATTGGTGGAAAGACGGCACAGGACTGGATTGGACATCTTGGAGCAGCAGCCACTTCCAAGTTTGTGGCGGCATGTGTTGCCTATCCACATGAAGTGATTCGTACAAGACTAAGACAACCAGCAGAGAATGGTGTTTTGAAATATACTGGATTATGGCAATGTTTGCGTTTGGTAGCTAAAGAAGAAGGTATTGCTGCTTTATATGGTGGTATGACTGCACATCTATTACGAGTGGTGCCTAATGCTGCCATCATGTTCTTCTGCTATGAGGCTATTGTTCATAAATTTGGTCATCAATAATAATATTTATATATTTCTATATGCAACTGTAAATAAAAAACATTCACAACTGTCTAAATTCACTTTTTTAACTCGCAGTCCGCCGCGCGGTAATTCAAGTGATGATGACGCTCCTTTTATAGTCCTTTTTTTTGCCTTTTTTTTTTTCTTTTCTTTACTAGATTGATTACAATGGTTACTGCAAAAAGATCAAATGCTGACACTCTTATGGAATCAGCACCATCGTCATTACCAATAACAGACATGGAAGCGGTTTTATCTAATTCAGCTAAAAAAACAAGAATCATGTTTTCAACAGCTTATAGTCAGGCAGCCATGGACGAACAAGAAAGGTATAAAAAAAAAAAAGACAAAAGTGTTGATTATTAAATTATATGAATTATAGCCAACGTATCAAATTAACAAGCAAAATTAACGATGAATACCAAGGACTTGGTAAATTACCTGACGTGTTGATCAAGCAACAAAAAGAAGCAGCCAAAGCACGCATGAAGGCAAAGACAACAACAGTAGAGGAAGCACCTGCAGAGACTGAAGAAAGTACTGCTGAAGGCAGCAGCGTAGTTTCCAAGTTGATTGAATCGATTGAAGAAAAGCCAAAACTGTAGGATGACATCTTTAAAGAAAAAACAAGTCTAACCATTAGAATGTAGGGATGGTAAAAATGAAGGCGTTGTTGCTATTCGTCATAAAGATCAATATACACCAGATATATTTGGAGACAGCATAGCCGGCGGAGGTTCACTTGTACGTAGAGCAAGAGCCAGAATCATTCGTCCAGTTTGGCATGCTCCTTGGAAGTTGATGCGTGTCATCAGTGGACACTTGGGTTGGGTACGAGCTGTTGCTGTCGAACCTGGAAACAAATGGTTCGCTACTGGTGCTGGAGACCGTACCATCAAGATTTGGGATCTAGCATCTGGTACTTTAAAGTTGTCACTTACAGGTCACATCAGTACCGTACGTGCACTAGAGGTTTCTCCAAGACATCCATACCTCTTTTCTTGTGGTGAGGACAAGATGGTAAAGTGTTGGGATTTGGAACAAAACAAGGTCATTCGTCATTATCACGGTCATCTATCGGGCGTGTATTCGTTAAGTTTGCATCCTACATTGGATGTCCTTGTTACATCTGGTCGAGATGCAACCGCAAGAGTGTGGGACATGAGAACAAAGCAAGCAATTCACGTCCTTACGGGCCACACAAGCACAGTGTCGGCTGTTAAATGTCAGGAAGCTGATCCTCAAGTCATCACAGGTTCTATGGATAGTACCATGCGATTGTGGGATTTGGCAGCTGGTAAGACCATGGGTGTCTTGACACATCACAAAAAAAGTGTGCGCGCTATTGCGCTTCATCCTACCGAGTTTGGTTTTGTCAGTGGTAGTGCCGATGCAGTGAAAGGATGGAAATGCCCAGAAGGCACATTTATTCAAAATTACGAGAGAAGAAAAGCCATCATCAACACAATATCAGTAAACCAGGACGGCGTTATCTTCTCTGGTGGTGATGATGGTTCACTAGGATTTAATGACTGGAAGTCAGGATATAATTTCCAATCAATGGAAACTACAGTGCAACCAGGTTCTCTTGATGCTGAAGCAGGTATCTTTTGCAGTACTTTTGATAAAACAGGCTCACGTTTGATCACGGGTGAAGCAGACAAGACAATCAAGATTTATAAAGAAGATGAAAATGCTGTAAAAGACGAAGACTTTTATCAATAAAAGAAGAAAGACACAATTATCGTAAAATTTCAGTAATCATGACACCTGTTGTATCGCATCCCATATAATCTAGTATAGTAAAGTTTTTGTTGGATATATCTAACGCACAACTTGTACCTGCAAATATTTTCCCTCTTTCTACACCTATTCTATTACATGCAATAAAATACGTATGCCTTTCGTTTGCTGAGTCACTATGTAGTGGTAATAATCGAAACGCCCAGTACTTGATCATATCTCGTTCGTCACCTGAATTCTTTAGCCAGGCCATACAACAGAATATGATGTCCGTATCATGTTTTAGGTGGTAATTTGCAAATTCATGGTCGTGAAAATCGGCTTTCAATTGATAAGGGTTGATATCCATACATATGCCAAATCCCACCTATGACACAACAACAATAACAGCAACAACAAATAAATAGAAAAAAGTGTGTATGACATTTGTATAATAAGTACCTTTCCTAAACCATCTATTTCCATAGACACAAAACCTGGACCTTCAGTGGCCCATTGTTCATCCGTTTCAAACAAGAAGGATTTTTGATAAGTCTTGACCAGTTTCCCTTGAGGATCTACACAACACAGACTATTGTAATATCTATTGCCTTCTTTTTGAGGGTATCCTACGATCACATAACACTCAAGCCTTTGGGCTAAATGAGAGAAAGAGAGAAAGAAAGAAAGCGGGTTAATCATTTACAATACGTATAGCTATATACTATACCTTGTTTTCTGGCCCAATTAACTGTTGGGCCAGTCTCTGCATCTTCAAGGTATGGCATAATCTCTTCAACCGAGTTAAAGACGTATCCTAAGTAAAAAGGGTATAAAGAAAAGAACATTTATAAAGATCGATTTGAGCAATACCTGTAAAGGCCATCTCAGGTAAAACGAGTACGTCTATGTCACTTGATGTATAGCTAAATCATGTATTAATAATTATAGAAATCAATATATCTCTCTTCTACAGTACTCTTTTAGCATGATATTAGCCGTTCTCATATTGCCATAGACATCGCTCCATTTTGGATCAAACTGACAGCAAGCTTATATTGCGCATAAATACAAATCAATCACAAAGAAAAACCAAATTATTACACAAAAATACCTATTTTCATTAACCTTGTTTTATTTTTAAAATAAAATGAAGGGAAGAAAGAGTAAAAGTGAAATGAACCAAAAGAACATAAATCAGAGTTTTTACTCCGACGCTCATTTACACTTTTTGTTTCTTTGCATTGTCTTGTGCAAATCTCTCGGCACGTTTTCTCTTCTTTTCTTCTTCCGCAGGATCAGTCGTAGTGGGTACCTTATTCAATCCAAACCGTTCAGCTCTCTTCTTTAGAGTTTCTGAATCATTTCCTCCCTTATTCAATCCAAATCGTTCAGCTCTCTTCTTTAGTTTCTCGGGATCAGTATCACCCTTATTAAGACCAAATCGTTCTGCTCGCTTCTTTAATGTTTCGTCATCATTTCCACCTTTATCCAGTCCAAATCGTTTTGCACGAAGCTCTTGTCTTGCTTTTTCAGTTAATGGTACGCCAAAGCGTTTTGCTCTCTCTATTGCCTTTTCTGCATCATCGCTTACTGCTACTCCTTCCTTGGGCGCGACAGGAACGACTGGCTTTGGAGAGGTAGAAGATGCCTTGTCAAAGGTGATGGGTGTATATTTGAAATCTGACTTTGGTTTATCATCCTCTTCCTTTGCTACTTCCTTTTCTTCTTTTGGCTCTTCTGTCTTTTCCTCTTCCCGAGCCTTCTCTTTAGCTATTGCATTAGCTTCATTCGCTATATCCGTAGTGAGTTCTACGGGATTGGCATCTCTACATGCTTCATCAGTTGAAGGTTCTTTCATTTCTTCTTCTTCTTTTTACCCTTTATAATCCTCAAGATTACCAAACTCTTCTTCTAGAGAACCGAGTTCTTTTTCAATAGTTTCGTCGTGTTGAACTAATCTTTCAATCAATTCTTCCTTTTTGCCTGTGTGAGGAAGTCCGTTTTTCTGCAAGAGCTCTTTATTGATATCAGTTGTCATTTCGTTTGTGAAAGCTTCAAAATTGATTACCTTGGAGATCTTTAACCTTTAAATTCTTGTATTTTTCAGACATTTATATTTTCTATTTTAAAAAAGAAAAAGAAAAGAGAACAGCAGAGAACAAGAGACTGAAAAAGACTGTCACGTAAACTGTCATGAATTCATTTACCAAATCAGTACCATAACGCATTAAAACAAGAATGGTTCCATATATTGTAAAGAGGGTTTAGGTTTATATAAAGTTTATGCAATCAGTCCCCAAGAACTATACCACGGTTTTATATGCATTTGTCAATGGCCCGGTATTAGTATCTATGACCTGGGTTTCCCCAAATTGCATCAACATTTTATCAGACTTTGTTTCACTGAGTCAAAATGTGATATAAAAAGAACCTTGAGGCATAATGAAAACGAGCTCTCTTCTTTTATAAATCATATGCCTACTCCAGACGATAACAAGACTGCCTACCCCGAAGACTACAACGTGGGTCCTGCTCAACAGGGAGGAGGATATCCTCCTGGATCTACTGAAGCTGAAACTACATATAATCCTGCAAACACTGCTGCTCAAACCAATTATAATTATGATAGCAATACTACTGGTCAATCCAATTATAACTATGGTAACACTACTGGCCAAACTGATTACAATTACGGCAACACTGCTCCTCAACAAGCTTCTTACATGGGCGGTTCTCCTCAGCCTGGTGCACCAACTGCTCAAGATACACAGCAAGAGACAACAGATAAGCCAGAAACTTTTAATAAATCCCTGGCAGACAAGATTGAAAGTAAGCTCGAACACTTTGTAAACAGGTTTTCCAGTAACAAAAAGTAAACAAATGAATGTCAAATCCTTGTTTGTATAAAATAAAGATAGCTTTTTGGTATTTATTGGAAGAGAGGTCTATAGGATGTAGCGTGATTTTATATATACTTTTTTCATAAATTATTCGCAAACAATAACAGTTACACTTTAGTTGGCTATTAATCCTTATTATTTAAAAGACGACATGAAATAATACATAAAATGAGCTTGGTATTTCTGATATTTATAATATAAATGTGATCAACACTTATAAATAACACGTAGCTGACAAATTGGTAGAGACTTTATTAAATAGTCTGATCTTGGCTTATTTTTCTTCTTTGGACCAAAAAATAAGGCCAGCTATTCCTCAGCTAGCCCTAAGGTATGTTTTATTCTTGTAAGGAATTGATATGCAGTATTATAGATTGCCCATCAAAACTAACTCCGTTCTAGCTGAGGGTACAATAAACTCTCAATTACAGAATACCTATTGGGAGCACAAATGACATTCCATAATAAAGTTAATACATCGACAATCCAGGTGAATATCACAGGAAATTTAAAGCGGTGGATGTGAAGTCCTTCGAAAATGACATTCTATTATCGTGAATATTCCGTATTGCTGTATTCCGTAGTCGATAGCCTACTGTAGTTTGGTTTTTACCAAGCTTTAGCCCCACCCGCTCCTTCAACCCCTTCCTCTCCTTTGACCGTTCTCCTCCTTGCTCTTCTCTTTTCTTTTTTTTTTTCTTTTCTCTTCTCTCTCCGGGCCAGTTATTGCTGGCCCTACCCATGATGCACTTTTGGTAAGATAATAATCTCTTTTACATGTCTACTCACTTTTCTTGTTTCTCTTTTTCCCTTATAAATCCTCTTCTTTATAATGTAAGTATTTAATATCAATTTAATAACTGATTTACTAATCATTTCTTTTATATCCCATTCTTTTGCTTCTGATGGGTTCTCTTTTATCATTAATTGTTATTTCATTTGTCTGAAATTACCATTTTTTTATCAGTGTGCGAATAAGTTCTGAATAAAGTGTAACCAGTATCCCGTCTAAAGGATTACAACGAGTATCGTTTAAGTGTAATATAGCTTAGATGAAATATGTCGTATTTTACCCTTAAACGCTTCATCTTGTAGTGCAAGAATAATTTAATAAGGAACTTTACAAAAACAATTGCCCAAAAAATGCGTTATTCTTATATGACGCGCCATGCTCAATTCTCATTGATCATAATTAATGCACGTAAAGCTTCTGTAATAAAGAGATTATATAGGGACTCATCAATATGCATAAAGTAGTTACAAATACAAATAACTTAAATGAGTTGTCAAATATGTTGGCTACTTATCTCTCATATTTGGATACTCTTCACTTGCTGGCCGATAAAGATTCTGTTCATATAAGAGATACAGCTTTGCTTATTCAAAATGCTACAACGCTAAATAATAGCAATCAAATCGCACCATATCAGCGATGCATAAGCCAAAGACGCCTCTGATGTATTTTAAACACCTTTTGTAATGCGATAGAGCAAAGTCCGAAATGTAACGTCACTATCTTGAGATTTGGTAGTGCGCCAAGAATCGCCTATTGTCATCCTGCTTAAGTGCGCTACTTTGTTTACTACTAAAACAAAAAAACAAGTGTGCTTATTTTCTAAAGTCATCAGACAAATACACACACACATATATATATATACTACGTGACATTTACTGACTTACGCCAAAGCTCACAAAGCATAAAATGAATAACTCGTGGCAGACCTTTAGAGGTCTGTCTCTCCTGTGCATCTATTTAATCTTTTTATGTTTATTAAAAGGCACTTATACTCAAACTGTGTCAAACCACGGTTTTGATAAACTACCTAGCAAGTTTTTCTATTTCAAAGATTCCGAAGTAATAAATGATACATTTATACTAGTTCTCCACATTCATTCTATCTCTTGTAGGTTGTTTTATGGCTCGATGCAAATTCCCACACTCTATACCGTTCAGAAAACCAAGGAAAAGAATGGAATCAAGTGGAGGATATTGACAAAACAGCGACTTACTTATACGAACATCCCTATGATAATGATAGAGTAAGACCTTTCTTTTTTTGAGGGAATAAGTAAACTAAATAGGATGATAGGCTTATGTATTAAGTTCTGGTACAACACATTGGAAGACAATAGATAAAGGAAGAACATGGCAAGAGTTTCATACTCGCAGCGAGTCTGGCTCATCTTCTTCTCATTTATCATTCCACGCTGAGCGCTCTGGATACATCTTATTCAGTGGTGTCTCTTGTAAATTTGGCTCTTGGTTAGGCATTGATTGTCAAACTTCTGTAAGTTGTTTCTATTTCTGGTTGAACAATAGCTAAACAGGCTTTTAGATTTCTTATACATACGATAACTTTGATACAATCAATCCTTTACGTACTCATGCGTCATCATGTATCTGGAGTCGATCAAGCGCAGAATTTAAGAGTGCGCCCACAAGTGAAATCATGTGTGTTCAATCAGCCTCAGGCAAATCTACCAATGGCCTGTCACTCCCAGACGACCTTCAGCTCGTTCGGTCCGATGACTTTTTTCATACTGAAAAGGTGGTTGACTTTGGACTAGGCAAGGAAATGACTGGTGTGCTTGCAGTGAGTGCCGTTGGCCGCTTTATTGTTGCTGCAGTAAAGCCGACGGATCAGACGGATATGACGCTCTATGTGACGCATGATGGCGAGCATTGGCATGAAACTATCTTTCCCGAAGGTGCAGCATTACACGAAAAATCATTCACAATCATTGAAAGTTCAAACCCTGCATTGCTCGTGGACGTTCTTTCAGGAGAGGATGCTCAATTCGGTTCTCTCTACAAGTCCAACTCAAACGGTACTTTTTTTAGCAAGAGCCTCGAAAACACTAATAGAAACAGTATGGGGTATATCGATATTGAGCGTATTCCAGGAGTCGAAGGTATCTTGGTTGCAAACCAGATTTTGAATCCTCGACTTGTAGAGTCACAATCTGTTCAGAGAGAGGTACGTACGCTCATCAGTTTCGATGATGGTGGCAGTTGGAACGAAATCACAAAGGTGAAGGATATGAATGGTAATAACATGAAGTGCTATGATGACAAGGTATGAACACGTAGTCCAAATTCTAAAAATAGACATTTATGTATTATCGTAGTGTACGCTCAACTTACACTCTGTCACTTCCAACCGTAACTTTGGACAAGTTACTTCATCACAGTCAGCGGTGGGTGTGCTTATGGGCGTAGGCAATTATGGTCCATACATGTTGACCTATGACGAATGTGATACGTTTCTGTCTACCGATGGCGGTATTAGCTGGAAAATGGTTCGTGAAGGTGCACATTTATATGAATTTGGCGATATGGGAACATTGATTGTCTTGGCTGATGATGAAAAAGAAACGGATCATGTTTGGTGGAGTAAGGATCGCGGAAACAACTGGTAAGAACAAGAAAAGTGTAAAAAAAAAAGGTTATATATGCTTAATGGCCTGTATAGGCAAAAATTAGGCCTTGGCATGACAGTTCGTGCCAGAATGTTGACGACTGACCCTGAATCGACCTCACGCAAGTTTTTATTAATCGCAGGATCGGTTCGATCTGCTGTTTCGAAAGTACAGGCATTTCAGCTTGATTTTTCCAATATCTTCTCTCGTCAATGCGTCCTAGATACTCACAATGAAGAAAAGAGCGATTTTGAGAGATGGTATGCTCGTGATATTACTGAAGGTCCTGACTGCTTGATGGGTCATGAACAAATCTTTTATCGTCGTAAAGCTGACCGTGATTGCTTCGTGGGTCGCGAATTTCAGGATCCTGAGACCGAGCTAAAGGATTGCCCATGTACAAGAGCCGATTATGAATGCGATTATAACTTCGTACGTAATGCAGAAGGAAGATGCATTCGTGCTGGTCCTGATCGTATCACGGCGGATCAATGTAGATCTAAGGATGACACTTATGCTGCATCTAGTGGATACCGTCTTGTTCCCGGCAACACTTGTATACAAAAGGACGGAGCACGTTTGGATGAACCTGTCACGCGCAAGTGTAGCGAAAATATTGCGGGTATTATTCCATCTCCCAATGACCTGAAACCGGCTGATGAAGAGATCAAGCATTATCAGTTATTTACTGGAAGCGAAATCGAGCAGTTCTTGTACTTTAGAGATTCTGAATCTATTCTGGTTCGACTTCAAGTAGGCGAGCTATGGAGATCTGGTAACCAAGGTGTGGACTGGGTTCGTGTTCTTGACAATGAAGGCGTAATCACCAATGTGGTTCTCCATGAGTTTGATAATCAACGTGCCTACGCTATTTTGGAAGACAACATCCAGTACACAGACGATCAAGGCAAGACATGGCATCCTATCAAGACGCCATTAGCTCCCAGTGACCGCGTTGCTCAAACATTGGATTTCCATCCTGGCCAAAAGGACTGGTTACTATTTATTGGAAAATCAAGCAGCCCTATGCCACATAATGAAGTATACGTCTCGACAGACCATGGCCGTAGCTGGACAGCGCTCGACTTCTATGTTGAAAAATGTATATTTGGACGTGATGCTGAATACAAGATTGAGGAGGACGTTGTCTTTTGCTCAGCCTATGATAAGAAGCAAGTAGGCAGTGACCTCAGACTTGTCCGTATCAACTTTAAACAGAACCAAAGCCGTGTCTATTTCGATAACATTGTCGAATTCTTTGTTGTTGAAGATTTCATGGCAGTGGCCTCCAGCAATAATGGAGAACTAGCCTTACATGTAAGCATAGATGGCACAAATTTTGCAGAGGCTCAGTTCCCTCCTGATCAGCACATCAACCGTGTCGTAAGTCTTTGATTAAGCAGTGCTACTATAGACAATATAGCTAACAAGTCATTTCTCTAGACCTTTACTGTATTACAGTCAACAACACACGCTATTTTACTAAACGTTTTCAAATCTATCGGCTTTGGCAAATCTTTTGGTTCCTTGTACAAATCGAATGAAAACGGTACATATTACCACTTATCACTCGACAACACAAACGGCGATGGCACAGGCTACGTTGATTTTGAAAAGTTCCAAAGCATCGATGGCACCATATTGGCCAACCAAGTCTGGAACGCAGAAGAGGTAACCTCTAACCCAGACAAACGAAAGAAAGTGAGAACAATGATCAGTTGGGACGATGGTGGATCATGGCAACCTCTTTCTCCTCCACATAACTTTGATTGCGACATGAAAGAGTGCAGTCTTAATCTTCATGGACGCACTGACATCCATGGGCCCGGTGCTATCTTTTCCTCCTCAGGCGCTCCTGGCCTTGCTATGGGCGTAGGTAATGTCGGCCCCTCATTGACAGAATATACCGAAAGTGACACTTTTCTAACACGCGATGGTGGGCATACTTGGACGCTTATTCGTCAAGGAGAGCATTTATATGAGTTTGGTGACCAAGGATCGCTCTTGGTGCTTGTATCGGACGAAGGGCCTACGAATGAGCTCTTGTATTCTTGGGATCAAGGCGAAAACTGGCACACTTATCAATTTGCAGCAGAACCTATTCGTGTGAGCACATTGACGACAGATCCCAAGTCATCTACTCTCAAGTTTGTGCTTATTGGTCACCAACGCCAAGGCTCGAGGTTCCCTGTGATCGTCACTGTTGATTTCACGGCTACAAAGCAACCCCAATGTATTCTCGACAAGAACAATGAAGATAGGAGTGACTTTGAACGCTGGGTGCCCAAAGATGATGATGGTGACGATGCATGTCTTTTGGGTAAAAAGACAGCATACTGGCGTCGCAAGAAAGATCGCGTGTGTAAAGTAAACGCACAATTCCATGAACCAGAGGTCATTGTCGAAAACTGTGAATGCCGCGAGACTGACTTTGAGTGCGATTTTGGCTTTTGGCGCAGTCTAAGGAACGAATGCTTACCTAGCGGACATCACCCTGACAGGCCTGCCCAGTGCAAGACAGGTGAAAAGTTCAAAGGCAGATCAGGTTACAAGAAGAACGTAAAGAGCTCATGCCGTGGAGGCATCAACCTTGAAGAAGATAAAGAATGGGATTGCGGTGAACGTGGCGGTATCATTTCCAGCGTTACTTCATTCACAGATCGCTTTGTAGATTATATCTACTTTACTGATACCGATCGAGTGATCGTCCGTACGATGGATGGCAAAGTCTGGGTGAGTGACAATGATGGTCTTAGCTGGAGAGATCAGTTCCCTGATCACAAGATTATATCCATGTTCCAAAACCCTCACTTTGAGCAACATGCATACTTCATTACAGAAGGCACAACCCATTTCAAAACAACAGACAAGGGAGCTAGCTTTGATGAAATGAATGTACCCACTCGTCCTCTCTTGAACCTTCAAGGAACCATCATGAACTTCCACAATGATGATGCCGACTATTTAATTTATGTTGGTGAACGAGGATGCAACGGTGACTCTGGCTCTGACTGTCACTCGGAAGCATTCTATTCTCATGACAATGGTCGTAGCTGGGATTCACTTGGCACTTATATCCGCAGCTGTATCTGGGGTAGAGAAGGCAACATCACCATTTCACATCGTAATGCTGTCTTTTGCGAGCAATATCGGGAGCAGTCCGGCAATCAGATGGCGTTGTTTGGAAGCCCACTTCAACTTGTTTCATCTCAGAACTACTTCCATGACAAGAAAACCTTGTTTGGAAACATCGTTGGTGTTACAGTATTCAGCAATTATATGGTAGTTGCTGCTGCAAAGAACAATGGTGCCAGTCTTGGTTTGCATATCAGTCTGGACGGCAATACTTTTGCTGCTGCTTCCTTCCCTGCCAACTTTGACTTATCGCCCGAGGTATGTGTGACCCTGTGTGTTTTTTTTAAGCAAAACTAACCTTGTTATTTTGATCTAATTGAACATGTAGGCATTTACCATTATGGAATCAGTCAACTCTTTATGGATCCATGTGACAACCAATTCACAAAGAGGCAGTGAATTCGGCACCATTTTTACTTCCAATTCAAATGGAACGTATTATGTCGATTCATTGAAAAACGTAAACCGCAACGAGTTGGGAATTGTTGATTTTGAAAAAATGCAAGGTATTGAAGGCATTGCCATTGCCAATGTCGTCACAAATCCAGGACGAGCAAGCAGAGGCGACCGTAAAATGCTGTCTACTTACATCACAGCCGATGCTGGTGGCCACTGGCATCCTATTCGAGCGCCCAAGAGAGACAGCGAAGGAAAATCGTACATGTGCTCAGACGATGAGTGTGTCTTGAACTTGCACTGCTACTCTGAACGTCAAAATTCTCGTGACTTGTTCAGTTCATCAAGTGCAGTTGGTCTTATGGTAGGCGTTGGTAATGTCGGAGGACGTTTGCTGGATTATCGTAATGGTGACATGTTCTTGACTCGGGATGCTGGTAAAACCTGGACCGAAATAGCCAAAGGTGCTCATCTTTGGGAGTTTGCTGACCAAGGTTCGCTCTTGATCTTGGTGGATAATGAATTGCCTACGAATACCCTCAAGTATACCACAAACGAAGGAATGACGTGGAACACATATGAGTTCACCAGCAAGAGTGACAAGGTGATCATTGAAGACATCATCACACAACCAGATGGAACAAGTCAAAAATACGTTTTATTGGGATTAAAGAATGGCAAATCGGTTGCTTATCATGTCGACTTTAGCCCTCTTCGTCCAAACAAATGTAAGAAATCAAAAAAAAAATTGTATACTTAATTGTATACTAAAGTTGTATGTATATAGGCGTATTGGATGAGGAACGTCCCAATGATGATGATTTTGAGCTTTGGAGTCCTGAAGATACGAGAGGTGAAAAGTGTTTATTTGGTCGTGAAATCGCGTATTACCGTCGTATCCGTGATCATGATTGCTATATTGGTGAAAAATTGGTTCAACCTAGAGAAATTGTTCGAAACTGTCAATGCACAGACGAAGATTATGAGTGGTAAGTGTCTGTGCTTTGTTTGTTTGAAAATAACTAATGGAATCCTTTTTTTTTTAAGTGATTATAACTACATTCGAGATTCAAACAACAAATGTGTATTGGTTCCAGGTTTATCACCCTTGATACCAACATGCGATGGCACAAGGGATTACTATTATATGCCTTCAGGGTATGTGTCACTGATACACCTAGCAAAACAATTGATTAATTTATTCTATTCAATAGATACCGAAAGATCGCAGCATCAACATGCGAAGGTGGTAAGGAGTTGGATAAACTGGGAGAAAAGGTGATGTGTCCAAGAGCGAAGGGATCTGGTGGTTGGCTCGCGTTCATTTTTATGCCCATTATTGGAGCAGGTATTATCTTTGGCGTGCTTCATTATAGAAGGCGCGGAGGATTTGGGTAAGCATTATTTATGAAGTTCATTTCAGATTTAAACTGATAATGACAATGTATAGTCGTATCCGTCTTCCGGACAGCACACAACAAATGGGATCCAACCTACTTTCTCATCCCATCCTTACTAAGATTGTTGCTGCAGCATTCGTGATTCCAGTGGCCATTATTGGCATTTTGTCTCGTATTCCAATTCCAAGGTCATTCGCTGATATTACTGATGCACTTGGTAACATTCGTTTGCCTTTCTTGTCTAGTAGACGAAACGCAGGATACTCTGCTTTAGGCCAAGATGAACAAACCGACGTTCTATTAGAAGATTACGATGGCTCAGAAGAGCATTTAATTGACGAAGCAGATGAACTTGATGACGCTGATGAGTTCTAAATGCTCATAAAATAGTTCACTTATACATACACACATCAATAAAAGCAGTTTATGTAAAAAACAAGGATTGTTTATTAAAAACATTTTATACAGTAGACATAAAGAATCTATAAATAAAGAGTAAGTAAAAAAAAGCCATTAATAAATTTCATATCTTTTTTCTTTTCTTATCAGTTAATTTTATGTTTCGCCATCGTCAAAGGCCCTACTGGCCTACGCGTGGTGGTGCATGATGTAGTTGAAACCATTTTTATCATCACCCGAAAAGAAAAAAGATATGCTTCATAAAAAACTTACCGAGATAGTTGAACATGGATGAACTTGAGTTCTATAAAAAAATCATGAATATTAGAATAAATGTTCAAGAATTGAACAGAATATGTCATGTTTTCAGTAATAAATATATAAATGTTCTCTTTCATTCTTTTTCAGAGAGATTCCCATTTTATACAATCATCATTTCACATTCACACATTCTGTGGGTCATGTGTCAACTTACCAACTTGTTCTTAAATGAAGAAAAGAAAAGAATAAAAAAAAGATTTACTTGTCTTTATAAACTTTTCAAGGGCAAAAAAATTTAATCAACTACAAGTCACTTTGTACCTGTGGCTTGATCTAATACCACGGCTAACGGAGTTGATTTATTTTTTCATCAAGTCATACAACTTTCATGCTTGTCAGTAGACGAATGGGATCTTTGTAGTCCAATGGTGGATAATGACTTTGAACAACTAATCAGAGTGACATAAGGCCTAAGCTGTATAATCAGTCTCGCCCATTTTTTATTTAAAGTAACCAAGTTTTGGCTAACGGTTTCTGAAAAAAAAAAAAAGTGTACACAGCATCATTCTATGATAAACGATTGAGCATAAAATCATCAACAAGTAGAAGCCGTTCATTTGTGTATAATTCAAATATAAACATAAAGTGACCACATATGGTAAGATGAAGTATTTATATAGTAGGTATGGCAACATCAGAGAAAGTGCATTAAAGTCACTCTTTATCACGGCATTTGCTCAAACATTTATGAGAATGCTGTCTCAGCCTCAGGTTATTAGAAGCTTAAATAATTCAAATACTTGCTGTGTTTTATTACTGTTGATGACTTATCAGTTTTCGGTTCAATTGAAGGTATTCAATCAATCAAGAGGATATGAAGACACACTGTTTTATCAGTAACCTTCAAAAAAAAATCATCTCTTTTTTCTATATCCAAAATAGATAGTTTATGTTTAATAAAAAAGGCAAGCATTTGGTGCACTCAAAAATGCACCAGAAAAATACACCAGAAGTTTGACCAATGCTACGGGCGCCACCTCTATTCACCACTTATGATGAAGTCCAACAAAACTATTCAATGCATAGCGACAAGCTAAACAAGAATTTATGAAGTTACCATCCTGGATTGTTTCTTTTCAAGAAGAAAGAGATAAAAAAGAAATGTTGCTATTGATGTATTTTAACTTTATGTTGTCAGTTTGACAGCAAAGAACCAAGATCAATCGCGTGTAATTATGATGGCATTGTGTTTGATATCAGAAAGAATGAACTGGACAACCTTAGGCTAGGCAGAGAATTGGGTTATGTGAAGCTGTAAAGCAATGTCACATGTAGCGCCCCAAGGAAGCGCCCGTAGCATTAGCCTATTTTTGAGTGCATTTTTGAGAGCACCAGTGTTTGCCAATTTTTTCCAAAAATGTACGAATACTTTCTGAAAAAGGTGCAAGTAAATCGCTTTTCATCACATCTGCAGCTTTTTAAAACCAGCATCTAAAATTAACATTCACGTCATGGCAATACAATAAAAGGAGATTTATATGTTTTATACACCATTTTTTCAACTATGGTGAATAGGGCACAAATATAATAATTTGTCTTTTTAGGCAATTACCCTGACATTGTTTGCCCTTTCACCTTGGCTACAATTTACTGCTATTCCTCCCCATTTTGCTATCAAGCACAGGGGAAGTTCGTTCACAATAAGATGTAATTTCTCAACCCCCCCTTTTTTCTCTGATCATGAGCGGAGGAAGAAGAAATGTTGAAGATATTCTCTCTCTCTTTCTCTCCCCGTGATCTATAGCCAAGTCACCCAAAGTACTTTATATGGCATTTTTGTCATTAGCAACAAAGGGGAAAGCTCAATTCAGACTATCCTCATTTTCTTTATTTGTTTGTTTGCATTTATAAATGAAAGTATTAATACAGTGTTCAGAAAATTTATGAGCTGAGCTTGATTGACTAAAACTTTACCAATTTTTTTCGTTTTAACTTCACTTTGATTGTTTTTTTCAGGAGCTTCAGTTATCTTTTGATAAGTAAGATAATTATACGGATCTGCTTTTATGGAATTTGTATATAGCAGAAATGGTTTACAGGGATCATCTTTATAACAAATTTCGAAATCTAGTTTTTCAATAGCATTGAGTAGTTCACTGGCTTTAGTCTTGTCATAATCTAGATGGTAGAACATGCATATTGCACGCTCTCTACTGATAGTAGTCATTGTTGATAAGGATACCAAGATGGCCTGAGCTTTGGCGTTGGAACGACTGTATGAAATAAAAAACAATACGATTTATGGTCACCAAATCTTTGGGTCAGCCAATCATTTGAATATCGAAGGTCGAGGAGAGTCAGACACAGGTAAAAAGATATGAGTAAATAAAGTAAATCAATCCATTAAACACCTTAGCAGAAAAGCACAGAAGAAAAAAAGCAAAAAAAGTTAATAAGCTTGACAAAACTAACGATTTTTCTGTAAGACTACCAATAATAAACCTCTCTGACGTGTTTGATAAGATAATCATTATAATAACTCGAGTATAATCTTACAGTAGAGCATACATTCTACTTTACATTCCTCTATCGCATCTGATAAGAATAACTTATAATAACAACTATAGTAGCTACTAGTATAACAATATTAATATAAGCATAAATAATGTCAGTGACGATAATAATATAGATAGCAGCCATAGATTCTCTACTCAAGCAAACTCTCACACAAACTTATTATAATAATATTCAGCTCTTCTTAATGAAGAATCTAATTCGCAAGTCATCGACTTAATAGCCTTTTTCAATAATACTAAAGCTGAATACAACAATGCCAAAGTCTGCGCTGTCTTGAGGGTTCAAACCGTGACGGGAATTGTTTTTCAAGGGTATATTCTAATTTTTTTTTTTTCACTTTGATCATTAACTACATAGGGTTGTAAATTTGACCGAACTAAAGAATATCAACAAAACCTATTCCGAATTACAATGCTTCTTTCCAGCATATCACATTTTAAGTATTTTATTCCGAGACACGAATATCAAAATAGTCATGTAAGTGTGCATATGGCCCGGAATTCCCTATGGGATATAATAGTATTAACTCTCGATTTATGATATTTAGCGGTGAAAAGGGATGTGATACCTCTAAAAACGCTCGAAAAATTAATGAACAATGTTTCACACTCAAAAAGCCTACAAATGTACGCGGAAGGAAATTAGACTTGATGCTCGTATATGACGATATTGTTCTTTGCTCTGCCGAATGGAAATCGATGGCTTCATCAAGAGCTGTTATTATGAAGCAATTTATTAAGAATCTTCGTGTCAACAATTGCATACTTCATGAGTTGAGGGAACATTTGGACGATGATAATACTATAATTTTAGGAATGGATTGGAAGGGTACAAATAATAGTTTGAATACAATTTCACATTTATTTAGATATCTCAACATCCATTTTCTCTTTTTACTTTCTTTTTTAGGATTGCTTGGTTATAGTTATTGTATGAAGATGATAGACAAGGCGGTGGTTGTAAAAGAAACATGCAAACTATTCCTCCCTCAAGATAAATGTGAATTTGAAGATTTTTCTGACACAGTCGCATCACTTATACAATTTAAGGTTAATTAGATAGTTTACCATGTTCCTGGAGTAGATATGATTGATTTAATATTTAATATTTTAGGCTCATTATGTTGACATGACTAAGAAATTAAAGGTCAAGATTTCCAAACATCGCCGAGACCATTTCTATGATGAGCAGTTTAATATCACCCCTACCAACAGTCGAAGCCCCTCCCCACATACCTTTTTTTTACTTCAAAGCGGCCAACTACTGCTCGTCAGCATGAAGAATAATTATTGATGTAAAATAATAAAGTAACTGATACCAATTTATAGTTTTTTTTTTTAACTTGTTAAAAAAAACAAATCGTCTGAATTCCAAGTATTTTCTTTGTTGAGAATTATTGAATTACGCTTTGGTCGCTGCCGCTTTTTGATCTAGCCCAATTATTTCTCATATTAGTATGAAACCCGGCTTCACCAATGAAAATAAAATCCAGATCAGAATCTTTCCATTCCATAAACCACTCGAATATCGTCTGTAGGTTTCCCACTGAGTTTCTGATTTCAGGTTCAAACATCGGTTTTTTCACAGTGATGAGCATTATGTTTCGTAAGTGGTTATTAAGTTGCGGCTTTGATATAGTAAAGACTTCAAATCGCTTAGTCAAACTATTTATTATGTCGTCTGAATACAACTGGGGGCCATTATCAAGCTGCTCTTTTATATACTCGTTATGCTCGGTTGTAAATGAGCTTTTCGGACCATTGTTTTCTTCAAACTTTTTATACGCAACCTCTTCTGCCCCTTCGTAATACTTCCACCATATCAACGCAGTGCAGTAATTAATATTTAAGTCTTTTGCAAACTTGGCTACTATTCCACGCTCTTGAGGACTTTCGAGCATACGGTATATAAATGTTTCTCTGGTGAAGTCGCTGTAATTGCTGCGCAACTTCACTGATGGCTTCAACTTACTAGGCTTCTACTGCTTTCTAACTGAGGAGCCTTCAAACAATTTTTTCGGGGCGCTTAATGCTCAAGTAAGTTTGTCGACTAGTCATTGTTTCAAGAACTATGTTGACATCATCGACATGTGTTAAAACATCCTCCATCGGATCGTAAACTTATTCTCCTTCTTCATTAAAAAATGTTTTCCTATTCATCTTTATAAAAAAAAAAGTATTCAACATTATGTTATAATTCTATGAGGGACAAAAACAGGTGAGATATGCGACAATTAAGCGCAATCTTCCCGTCAATTTTAGTTAGGCTAGTTCCAACAATTGTTTTAATCAAAATTGACAAAAACAATTTAAACTGATGACATTTACTTTTCTAATCCCGCCATTTATTTTGTTTAAACATGATATTTTATTGATAGTCCAAATGAGCGCAAAAATAAAATAATAAAATAAACATCCACCCGGACCCGTTCAATCCGTTTGGAAGTGAGTGGTAGCGAAAAAACCCTTTATGGGTACAAGGGTAAAAAATGTAAACGAAAATTAAAGAGTAGGATTATCGATGAAAGGTTAAATGAATTGCTTTAACCATACAAGAAGCTTTTGACCATGGGGGTGTTTAGTAGGGATCAATTTGTTATGGTGTAGCTGATCTAATTCAGCCATTTATTTTTGAGAAAACGCCAAATTCCATAGGTTTGACTGTACAAAGGAGAGTGCCTCGACTCTCGTCAGGGATACACAAATAATTTTTTAAACACCCGCTGCAAATTGGTTTTGTAGAGCTACAGTTTTTGGTCCTTTTTCCCTTTTTATTGATTGCAAACAAATGTCTATTGTTTATTCATCTGACACTGACACCTGCATCTCTCCCCCACCTCCAACTCACTATAAGCTGAGTTGCCATAGCAACAATAGTGTTCACAGTGATACTTCCACTGCATTTACCGTACCAGACAATTTCCAAGTATCGAAGCCTGAAAAGACTCCAAAATCAAACTCCTGGTTTAGTACAACAGCGTTTAGACCCAACAACAACAAAGCGATTCGTAGAGTGGCCTCTGCTCCCAACGCAAAGGAAGATATTTATAAAATCCAACTTCAGCAAAAACAAGATCAGACGGAGCGAAAAAAAGTATGCAGAAGGACTTATTCGACCGCTAGTATAAAAATAAAACAACTTCAAGTGGGACCAGCCAGCTTTGTCAAGGTGAGGATGCTGGGAAAAGGAGATGTTGGTAAAGTATACATGGTCAGACAAAAGGGGACAGATAAACTATTTGCAATGAAAGGTAAAAAGTTTTTCATTATTTATGGGTGAAAAATAATAACAAACTCCCTAGTTTTATCAAAGAAGGAAATGATTAAAAGAAACAAGATTAAACGTGCTTTAGCAGAACAAGAGATCTTGATGACTTCCAACCATCCCTTTATTGTCACACTGTATCACTGCTTCCAGAGTCAAGATTACCTTTATTTTGTCATGGAATATTGTATGGGCGGAGAATTCTTTCGAGGTACATGCTTGTATGCCTCACAAAAGGAGCAGTGTCTCATCTTGTTTATGTCTTTATAGCATTACAATTAAGACCAGGAAAGTGTCTAAGCGAAGAAGGAGCCAAGTTTTATGCAGCTGAAGTTACTGCAGCTTTAGAATACCTCCACCTCCAAGGCCATATCTATAGAGATTTGAAACCTGAAAGTAATAGCAGACAGTTGGGATCATTGCCACTGGATACTCACTCTCTTATATCTAGATATCTTACTACATCAAAGTGGACATATTATGTTGACTGATTTTGACCTAAGTAAAGGATCTACTCCTCCTGGTCGCCCTGGTGTCGTCTTATCTAAATCACCCAATCAGGTTAATAGACTATATTTTACCAATGAACCCTATATTGACATCTTTATAACAGCCACCTGTGATCAACACTAAAAACTGTGTCATGGGTCTACGTACAAATAGCTTTGTTGGCACTGAAGAGTATATTGCACCTGAAGTCATCAAAGGCTGTGGCCACTCTAGCGCTGTTGATTGGTGGACATTAGGTATCTTGATTTATGAAATGCTGGTAATACAAATAACAAAAGTAGAGAGAGATGATATTGACTATCTTACAGTATGGTACAACCCCCTTCAAAGGGTCGGGTCGCAATGACACCTTTTCTAGAGTCTTACATATGGATGTTCATTTCCCTCATCAGCCTGCGCCCTACAGTGGAAGCATATCAAGCAATGCAAAGAGTTTGATTCGTAAACTTTTGTGCAAAGATGATAATCATCGGCTTGGATCCCGCGCAGGCGCGGCAGATGTTAAACAGCATTCGTTTTTCAAAAACATCAACTTTGCGCTATTAAGAAACATGACGCCACCTATCAAGCCTGCAGTTCAAAAGCCAAACGGAATAGACGCCATTAACTTTAGAAAGATGCAAGAAAGCATTAGTCTTGATTTAGAAGTAGATGGGTTAAAAATGATCAGCACAGTAGAAAAAACCAATCCTTTTGAAAAGTTTGATTCACGTAAGTGTAAAATATACCTAATATTTGACGATGTACTCACTCTGAATATAGTAACACTCTACCATGATGGTGACTCTGATACAGAAACAGATTAACTTTTAATTCCTCAATTACAAGCATACCCTCTCTCTCTTTTCTCTTTTTTCGTTATTATAATTTCATACCAATCCATTTCTTTTATTATTAATATGTAACAGTATTATAAATTACTAATAGGCTTAGTGCAATAGTAAACTTAACTAATGATTAATCTTTTTTTGATGTTGTCTTCTTTTGCTAATTGAACAAACAGCCGATGGAATATCCCAATGGAAGGCTGGATATTTATCTACAGGTATCAATCTATCTCGTACATGTGTCGCTTTATATTGTTCGCATGTCGACATCTCTTTGTCCAATTCCATGCTGCCAGATGCCACCGTAAGAGCACTTTCTCCTTGAAGAGGCGGTAACTGTCCAAAGTTGGATTGAAGCAGTAGCTGTCTGACTTCCGGGTTGGCAATGGAGCAAAAATGCCATTCAATGTCGGTCCCGGCATATTTTTCCATTGCAAGCTTAAGAGAGATCAAAGCGTGTAGCGCAGTAAAGTCAATACGATAGACCGAAGAAAAATCGAAGAGGACGACCTCGAGACATGGCCTTGATGTATCAGAACTCATGGTATTCTTTGATGTGACCTCATTCCACGGCCGCTCGTCCGAATCTGTGGTCACTATCTCGTTGTTGGGTCTTGTGTGCAATTTGACAATATCCAGAATGCGTTCTGTGACCCAGTTTGCATTTAGGTACAGAATCGATTGTGTCGGTTTGATGATCAGGATGCCTTCAGGGAGAACTTCAACCCGGTCCTTGAAATGCATGTCTTGATCATCAATGTAGATGCACTGTGTCTCTGCTTCTTTTGGCAAGGAAGATTCATTTAAGAGCGTTGTTAATGATTTGTTTGTCAAAGGAGATTCAACATCAAAGCAGAGGGGAGCCTTGCGATCATGGATACCATTCAATTTGACACGGGAAATGGAGATAACATGGGGTCGTGCTAATTTTAAGAAAAGAAGGAAGAGATACAGACCGACTGATACATAGATGGCTGTTTCGATATCAACAAAGCATGCAATGACAACAGTGATTAAAAAGAGGATGAATTCGATCATACTGGACCGCCAGAGCGACTTGAGAAACTTGGGGCCGGCCATGAGGTCAAGTACGGCATGGATGACGACAGCAGCAAGGATAGATTCAGGAATATAGTAAAATGCTGGAGTCAGCGCGTATAGAGCAAGGACAACAATGGCGCCAGAAAATACGCCCGCGATGGGCGTCTTAACACCAGAGCGTGCCATAACGGCGGTTCGACTGAATGCGCCTGTGCTCGGATATGCACTATGATATATACACATAAAAAGTCAGTCATATAGAATACATATGATTTCATACAATGTTACCCAAAGAACGAGCCTACAAGATTACTTAGACCAATGGCAAAGATCTCTTGATTTGGATCGATCGTGTAATTGTTGGTTCGACTAAAGGCTTTGGCAATGGAGATGTGTTCCAGAATAAGAATGAGGACAATGGGCGGTAGAGTAACACTTGCATCTTTGAGGACAGTGATGTTAAGGCTGGGAATGGCCATGGCATCAAATCCTGCAGGCACATCCTTAATGATGCTTATCAGAGGATGGCCCCTATGTTGTCTATTCACCAAATAGGAGATCACAGTACCAAAGATGACAATCAAGCCACTTCGCATGATATTTAGCAGAAAGATAGGCTTGCTGAGTTTAGGAAACCGCTTTGAAAGTCGTGAGCTGCTAAACTTGATACCATACAGTATGACCAACGCAGTAATACCAAATGCAGCGTCAAGTTTAGTCGTATTAATGTTTTTGAAAAATTCGTATAGTATTATGTAGTCTGCATCTCGTGAGTCAACTCGTTCGATGCCAAACACTTTAGGCCACTGGCCAAACGAGATGGTTATAGCTGAACCAGTCATGTAGCCTGCAATAACAGGCTCTGGAATAAGTTCGACAAGGATACCCAACCGAGTAAGGCTGATGAGTAGTGTAATGACTCCTGCAAAAAGCGATAATGTCACGGCTACCTCAGGGCCGGTTATTTCGGGATGTATCGCTGTTACTTGTTGAACGGCTTGGCCGACTAGTAGTGACACTATCGCTGCACATGAAAAATACATTACGTTGTTAGAAAATTGTATGTGTATGTGGCGCGCATCTATTATTGTAACTTACTAATCGGTCCTATACTAATATCCTTGGATGTGCCGAAAAAACAGTACAAAGAAACCCCCACAAAAGAAGTACTAAATTAAGCATATCAATTGATCAGTTTTTTTTTTTTTTTTTTTTCTCTTTTATGAGTTTCTTTTTTATTTACTATAATCCGTATTGTGGGTCAAGGTTTGCAATCTTGGCATAAGCAATGCCTTGAGGAACAATAAGCATGCCTACGGTAATACCTGCAATCATATCTTGAACTAGCCACTACATATGCGTATTAATATTCTAATCTGCACTTTCAAGAAGAAAAACAAACTCACTGATAGTCTATACTGATGTATCCATTGTACGATAGGAACTAGACTAATCAAATAGTTGCTTGTTGCTTTAGGTAATTGATGAAACATAATTGCGGTTCGTTCTTTCAATGTCGGCTTCGCGTAATCGATTACAATGGGATCGTTTGGTGCAGCCATGATAATATTATTCAATGTTGATCGTCTACAATAAAATTGAAACAGTTTTCAAGAGAGAGCAATAGATGTCTATAAAGATATTTGATGTATGCGTCAAAGGGTTATACTAAAGAAGTAAACTGTCTTAATTTAAAAAAAATAAGAAAAAAAAAGGAGGAATCCAGGGGAGAATGCACCCTTATTTTATATCTAATGACGCTTCAATCCGCTGTTTTCTTTAATGATGAGGGATTTTGATACATCGATGACAATGGACAGCGAATTTCGCTATAAATACAGGACTATTATTGATCATAGACCATAAAACCCGATTTTCCCCTCAAACACAGCCATCTCTCTCACACACACACATTGGCTGTCATCTTGCATATATTTCAAATGCTTTTGTTTGAACTAGTGTTTATAGTCGGTTTTTTCTACCATCACTTGTTGCTTTCTTTATCTTTCCATGATGTTATCTCATCCGTATTTTCTCGTTTGCTTGATGTGTTTCCCAAAAAATACAAATGTACAGTCTCTTTATCCCCTCTCTCTTATTCAGGATTACTTTATTGTTGTTGTATTTTTTTTTTTTTACGACAATAACCACACCAAATGAGTTGCCGTTTTATTCTATAGAACGTCATAGATACCTGCAAATAGATCTAGTATAATGCGTATAAAAATAACAACTAGCACCACACACTATCAAGTGACTATGATACATGCTGCTAATGGGTAAACGTTTGTGCGATAATGCATTCTATATACTTTCTGCGATATTATTTATATACGCAGGAACAAAGAAAAAGAGATGCGAAGACTATAAAAACCATATGCACGTTACGTGATACAATCATTCGGCATACTTTATGATTTTTTTTAAGTGTTGACCATATTACCTTTACATATATGTCTTTTTCCTAAATCACTGTCATTCCCGTCCCCAAGACATGACCCTTGACTAGATGCGTAAGAGGACATGATCCTCCATATCAGTATGAAATAGAATTATGATCATGGGAGGAAGGAGTTCTCTGAAGTGCTTATTATACAGAAAGATATAGAATAATCTTGGATGCACCTGATGCCATTGAATGCAACTTGAAACACTTACAGTCACTGGCCAAGGGAAGAAAATACATGTCACTACGCAGATACAAGTAAATGAACTACAGCTTGACATTATTTCTTGAAGGTTACGATGGATGATATGGACAAGTAATGAAAAAGTGTTATTGATGTCCATTGATCCTATATCATTATTCCCCTTATTCAAGTTGTTTGACTGTTTGCTTGAAAGCATTCAATGACTCAAGGTTAAAATGCTCTGAGAGTTATTTTTTGCTCTCTTACAGAGCATACACATGCATAACGAACCCCTTTTTTTTCTTTATTAATTTTCAAAAGCACATGCAACATAAAGACCAAATGTTGCAAATATTAAGGGATAAATACAATGATGTATTGAAAAATTGAAGCTGTTTAATGCAAATAGCCACCTTGCATACAAACCTCTGTAGCCAGCTGCAAAAAAGGCGAGATAGCCTGTTGAGCTTTAGATAAGAGCGATAAATTATACGTACATACTTTAGGCGTGCTTGACGTACATCAAATGAATTCACTTTATCTATTGATTCGTCTGAGCAACTGTTACACTGTCCGTATTCACGTGATAAAACTGTACGTTTCCAATGCTACAGAACAAAGCGAGGTGTTTGTTATCATCAAAGGCACACAAGCCAATATGTAGATCAATGGGTGAGCCTTAGAATATGGAGAGTTTTGTGGTCACGGCTTGAACGATACTTTATTTCAATCAAACCGTAAATATTTAACTACTTCATAGGCTTGACATATACCAAAAGAGAGGCGTTACTAATGGATAATGTAGACACTCAATTGGCTTTAAGAAACAGGGTCAATTAAAGTAGGTCATATGAAGCGGACAAAGTTTAATATTCCAAATTAGTGTATAAACAATTGCAGAAATCGCCTAGTACAAATTGAGCCTCATCTTTCTTTTCACATGTATTATTTTGGATAAGAATTATCAAAAAGAAGTAGAAGGGAATATAAGCATCTATTTGTTGATCTCTCCAACATGAATATGATTTCTTTACTTTTCCGTGTTGCCGTTGTTTGCGAATAATGTCATGCAATGTCTATGGTGTTAAAGACAGAGCTTTGCTTTTGAGAAACAGGTTAAATGTATAACTCTATTTAGGATTCGAATGTTTGGAATTGTTACTCAAAGGATTATAGACAGAAATAATAAAATAAAAGCCAGTTCTTGATTTATTGTAAATATTTATCTTGTGTCAACTCTTTACAAAACAACACACTTTCCTTTTCCTTTTTTTCCAGTGGCTTTTCGAATATTCAAGGCAGCTCTTGCTGCTTGTTGAAATGTTTCCTGCACGCCTTCACCTGTCTTTGCCGAGGTTTCAATGTACATATGAGCACCAATCTTTCGTGCAACATCCCTGCCCTAAGAATAAAATTATCCATTTTTGTTTGCCTTTGTCGCTATATATAATTTATTTATTTCCTTTTTACCTCATCTGTTGTTACTGGTTTTTGGTTAGTCTTTCTCAATTCTTCAATCTTTGCAGGATCATCTCTCAAGTCCTTCTTTGTACCAATCAACAAGAACGGAATTCCTGGACAAAAATGTAGTACTTCAGATATCCACTGTAAATAAGGGGTGAGAAAAAAAAGAACACAAGGTCAATAGTTTACCTTTTCTTGGACATTGTCCAATGTATCAGGGGAATCAATAGAGAAACAGACAAGGATGACATGAGAATCAGGATAGGACAATGGACGTAAACGATCGTAATCTTCTTGACCAGCTGTATCCCATAATGCTAACTCAACATTTTTACCATCTACTTCTATATCTGCTACGTAACTTTCAAATACAGTAGGAATATATGCCTGTATGAATATAAGTAGATGCTCCTTTTTTTTGTTTCCTTAGTGTATCACTTACTTCAGGAAAGGTTCCTCTTGCAAATACAATCAACAGACAAGTCTTACCACAGGCACCATCACCAACAATTACAAGCTTTGCTCTGATATCATTCATAGTCATTGTTATAAATTATGTTCTTTTATATTAAAAAGAAGAAAAGAAAAGAGATAAGAAAAGGGGATAAAAAAAAAAGGAATAAGAAGAAGAAAAAAAAAAAAAGGGGGGGGGGAGGAGAGAGAAGAAAAAAGCAAGAAAATGAATATCTAAAGTGGCACCTCAAGTATACCCAAATCAAGTAAGCCGCTTCAAGCTGCAGTGATTTATGTGTATTCATTTTGAATCTCAGCAAGGTCTTAAAGCAAATATAACCTCATACGATAACTTTGGTTATTCTTAAGTGCTACTTTCATCAAGAGCTCTTGTAGTTTTATTAAACAGTTCTTCTTTATATAAAGGCATTGCTTATAATAGTGAAGCTTTGTTTCTTGTCTTGATAAAGGCATTATAGGCATGGTTTGTAGTTAACTCTTTTTGATCAGATATGACATACACTCTTGAACACAGGCAGGATCAAGGAAATGTTTTCTTCATAATCAAGGACTGCTTTTGTCATGATCCACCATTTAGCTGCCGTATCTGATGCATAGATCGGATTAATTGTTATAGCCAGTCTTACCTTTTGCTTTTGAACTTGTCGTCATCTTTGTTATTGTTGAACCCATTTGCCTTTAGTATAACCGTATCCTCATACGTGTATATACGTTACCTTCATACTTGTCTAGACTTGGCTACTGTATTCTTCAAAGAAAGAGTTGTCAGGTACAAAGGGCTCATCTTAATGCCAAGCTTTCTTAAAAACGTGGGAGATACTTGAAAATAGTAAAGCGTGTGTGTAGGTCATGCATTTTTTAAAAAAAAAACTAGGACAAGTACATTCTAAACAGTGCATATCCAGACATTATTCATTATCAATAAGTTATTGTCGATTTTACCACCAAATCGAAAACGGATAGCTCACACTTCTACCACCGCCTCTCTGAACAGTAACTAGAAATAGTTGCGATACATGTTTGCTGACAAAGCATTCAGGACTATACATTGTTAATGAAACCTTTAGCCAAGTTGCATTTTATTTTGAGTGAAAGCGAAAAAAAACAAAAAAAAACAACCTTGTTTATGTCAACAACAACCCATTTTTTACGTGTCGCAATTGTTACTTTAAAATTTGCTGTCACGTCTTGGTATTCTCTCTTTCCCCCTCTGAAATGTCAAGTTTTACTATAAAGACAACATTTCAAAGCATGCCAAATTCAGAATATAGTGATGAATTTACTGAAACTGAAAACGACGAGTACGAACCAATTCAAGTAACAAGCTGGGGAACTGCAGCACCCTCCAACTGGAATTCACTTGTAGATACCTCTGTCAGGCTAAAGCCAGGTGGAGTAGGAACAGGAAATCTTCATCGAAAAGGATCTAATTATACGCCGATATCAGAAGCAGAGGTCTTGTCACAACGACTTAGAAATCCACCGCCTGGTCAAGGCAAGAATAGTAATAAAAAGAAAAAGAGAGGGAAAAAAGTAAAAGCGCCTACGACCAGTATAAAGACAGAACCTATAATTTCAACAAGTGGATCAAAGTGGGGAAATGTAACGCATTTGACTTATACACCATTTTGGTTAGATAAATCACAACTGACACCATCTAATCCACCTGTGTCCACAAAACATAATTGGCAAGAGCATCGAGCTATCAATTTAAATTATAAAGAACAACAACAACAACCAAATATTCCTCGTGGTACCAATAATGATACAAAAAATGATCACGAAACGTCTTCTACTACTGATACTAATGTATGGGGGTTTCCTTCTTCGGTCCTGCCAGAATCCAAACCTATCAGTCAATCTACAGCTCCAGCATCATTTAAACAAGCAGGGTGTGCCAATGGCAACAAGTCGTCTAATGTTACTGTGGATAAAACAAAATGGAATATACATGCACGAGAGTTTAATATGGATAAAACAAAATGGAATATACACGCACAAGAGTTTACTTTACATAAGCCCATCTCACACAATAATACCATAAACCATACATCCAGCACTTCTTCAAACTTGCTACAAAAACAGCCCATGACAGCCAATATATCTGCAGCCCCGAGCCTTGATACCAACCATTCGGTTGATCCTTTGAAAGTCGATCATCACAGTAAAATGACTGTTGAAAAAGATACCACGAAACAAGTAGTTGAAAAAGAACTCACTCTTTTTGATAAACCAGTTTGGTTCAATATAACGATTCAACTTGCTGCTGGCATGAATATCAAGCTATGTGTCTATGAAGATTCAGAACCTACAGATATCGTCAACACATTTATGAAATATCATCACATCACAGCCAATGATACAGCCAGAAAAGGAATCATTAAAACACTTGAAAAGCTGATTAAAGTAAGAAAGGAAACCATGCAGCAATAAATCATTAACAATAGGAGTTTACTATATTCATGTGTGTATGTGTGGTATTTTATTTTATTGACATGGTATAATTCTATATTTTTACATTGCTCTACAGCTAAAGTCTAGCCACCACAAAGATCCGCCTTTGCCTCCATAGATAAGTCCCATTGTTCCCATAGCTAATCTTGATCTAACAAAATCGTAACCATCTGATAAATCATCATCCTCTCTGCCATGTTGGCTATTATCCTCCATCCATGTTTGGTGTGTATCATTCATACACAAAGCACTGCTTACTCTCGCTGCCGTCGTACCGTTTAGAGCATAGAGAGCGATATCACCCTGCCTGTTGACAGTAGCAATCCTATCCTGATGAATGGCTACGCTGACTATTTCAGTGGCAGCAGGGCCTAGGGGTGTCGTACGAATTGAGTGTATGAGTTTGGGCCCTTGATCAAAATTTGGCAAACATACTTGTTCTTCTTCTTGTTGCTTCGTTTTGCTCAGCTGTCTGATATATTGATCTGTTTTCATCTGACATGCGTATCCGTAATCGTTATAAGACGAATGTCTTCGAATACTTGTCAATTTATGCGAGGACTTTTTCGAGTTGGATGTATTGGCTGATTTGGATGAGGATAACTTCAGGTTCTGATGGTCACTTGTTGTTGTTTTAATGCCTAGTAAGTGAATGAAAGCTGTGGAGAATCTTTTACGAGATGAAGCCAGAGGAACTGAGACGGATGGTGCAAACTTGATGCTGTCTTGCTCTTGTCGAATAGATGGGTCCCATTGATAATGATGAATGCGACGAGAAGCGTGAGGGGCTATTACAACATTAAGAGAGCTATCGTACTCGACACAGGGTATACTACAGGGGCTCATATAGTGTGTAGCTGCTGTATACTTGGTGCAGTCAAATATATCAAAGATGTGCAGTAATCCATCTGTGCTGAAGGTGATGAGGTTATCACCTGATAAAAATACATGATGAGGCTGATTATCAAATGCCTAGATACATTGTTAAAATCAACATTGTGTATACAACAACAGCCAATACTTACCCTGCTCGATAATCTGATCCCTTTTCGCCAATTCCATATAAACACTGCCGATGGTTTCCTACCAGCAACAGCAAAATAGTCTTGATTGACAGCGATTGAATCAGGAATGAACCAAGGATGACTTCCACCTTTGAGCACTTGAATTGGATCATGATTTGATCCTTTGTTTATATCAAAAAACATGCACCTTCTAGTCTTTATAGTTTAGAGTTTTTTTGTTGTATAGCAAATTATCTGTAAACTTACGATCCTCTTTGAGCAATCACTAGGATATAAATATGAGGCAACACATCAACGCATTCTACGATATTTTGAGTTGATGATGGATCACCAAAGTACCATTGTAGTTTGAATACAAATCCACTGTCTGATGTATACTCGTAAAGCTTTACCACATTATTCTCTGTCAGGGTGACTAACAAATGATCTCTTAGTTTAACAGAGAGCACTCTACTGCTATCATCATCTTTGTTGATCTTGATCACTCTTTGTGCTGCACCCATTCTCCAGTTAGTCAAAGTAATGGCCTGACAATATCGTTTATGCCATGATAAAGAACAAGTCTCTACTAATTTGGCTGGGTTATGCGCATAAATGTCGGTACATCGTGCATTCAAATCTTGAAACCGGCTTTTCCATAGAGAACTATCTTGAGTCAAACGATGCCAAAGTCGACAAGTCTATAGTATTGGGTTACTTGCTTTTTTTGGGATAAGAATAACCTATTTTTATCTTTTTGTGTACCAGTTGAACTTTGACCAAGTCTTGAAAGGATAAGAATGAAAGTATTCTCAAGGTAATTTCTATAGGAAAACTACTCAAGATATCTGTCTGTGGATATTCTCGACAGGGTTCTTTTTGACATTGTTCTTGGACAAGTTTTTTTTCATGATGATTATTGGATAATATAGATAACTTCTTGACCAACAATTGAACTGATTTTCTACGTGTCATCAATAAAAAAAAAAGAAAAGAAAGAAAAAAAAGAGAGTTGTTATTTTTTTTTTTTTTTTTAGTTTTGATACGCACAAAATAGGATTTTAAGCACGAGAGAGAGAAAATCAATATTGTTTTCTTTACTGTTCTTTTCCATAAATATAAATCCCATCTTGTTCATCTTTACTAATTAAATTCAGTTCGGGTATTTCATTTAAATTGAAAACTAGACTGATAATTTTCGCTCCTTGTCTATAATGTTGCAGTAAAAAGTTGGCAAATTTATCAGTGTGATCAGGCAAGAGAAAGAGCACGATCACTGTCCACGGGGTATCTCGTACAATGGCCAAGTCTAATAGATCACCTGCGATAAATGTTATTCTCTGCTTTTCTTCTTCACTCAACACATGGTTGGACAATTCATAAGATGTATCAACGAGGGTTTTATCTGATTCTATACCCACTGCCCGTGAAACATGAAATTCGGATATGGCAGCAGTAACAAATCTTCCATCACCAGAACCTAAGTCTACAAGTACGTCTCTAGGCCCCACTTGAGCCATACTCAACGCTTTTAGTACACGCTCGGCTGAAGTGGGACAAAAAGGGGCCAGTGACGTATCTACACCCTCAAGATAAGCTGGAAAGGGATCTTCTGCACTTTGATCTTCAATTTGATGATCTGCATTTTTATATACTTTTAAGAATCGACTTTCTTTTGACATTTGTATTAAAAAAAAAAAGAAAAAAAAAAGAATTTCACAAAAGACTGCTTTTTTCTTGCTATTGCTTTTTCTCTATTTATCCTAAACTGATGCATGTCTTTTTTTTTTTGTTGAAAGAAAGGTTCAACTAAGCTGGTGGAAAAGAATAAAGATGTGCCTGATGTCTTTTTAAATGACGTATGGACTAAAGTGTGTTTTTAAGGGAGTGTCTATAGTACAGCTGCTATACAAATCTTCATTTCCTATTCTGGTTTCTTTTTTTTTTTTTTTTCTCTTTTCGTAAGTGAAAAAGAATGCAAATGCAAAAACAAAAACATTTACAACAGCGGCCTACAACGACAAGTCCAGTGCCGCCTACGCTGAATGTGTCACTGTCCAGTCGTTCTGACAGCTTTAGACATGGTGATTCAGACACATCATTGTTTGAAAAGCCCTCCAAACAGACAACAACAACCATAAAGGGCAGCATTATCGATACTTCACAAAACATTCTATTTACAACCACTTCTCTAAAACGGGCAGTAGGTAGATGCATAAGCTATACAGATAATGATAGCTTACAGGCTACATTCACGCCTATCTTGACAAAAGCAAAGGCGGCTACGGAAAGACTCGGTCAGATTTTAGACTTGATAGAAGACGATAAAGAAACAGTGCATAATCTCATACAATCAACAGCACAATGCATATCTGCACTCAAGGAGCTATGTTATATACTCACGACCAGACTCTCTATCATTGTCCAAGGTCTGGATTCTAAATTTTCACGCCACCTGTTGATTCACCTATACAGTGCAACCGTAGACATCAAAGAAGCTTGGCAGATCATTAGTCCATACTTGACCATAGACCCATTAAGCATAGTGCCAAATAAAGCAAACTTATCTAGGAATAGATCAGATAGTGAGGCACATTCACCATTTGTGTCACCACTTTGTTCTCCTTATGGAGATAATAAACAACTCTATACCTGTTTGAAAAATGCGGTAACAGGATCATTCCATGTCCTAAACACACTACGGCAATCTATTGAAGAGACACTCAATTCATCGGTCATCCCCAGTCTGGAGCGAAAGCTGAAAGAATTGCTGCGTCAAGCACAGTACGTGACTGACCTTGCCCATAAGCTCGATAAAAGTATAGATTCACGTATCAACAAGGACGAATACTTTTTAAATAAACAGCAAAATAGAAAGTTTTGGGAAGATACGAGTATCTACTTGAAGGCAAGTCATTGTTCTCATTTTCTTGTATTTAGTAACATTATAAATATAGGCTATGGTCAGTCTTATGACCTTGATTCGGTCTATATCCAAAGAAGAAGACTTTGTTTGGCCACGGACAGTAAAGCAAGGCTGCTTGTACGTTACAAGAATTACGGCAGAAGTAGCCAAACTATGGAATAATTCTAGTACATTTGCACAAGATGGATTCTTTCTAGGGAAAGCAGAAAGAAGCACAAGCATATCAGAACAAGATATACCCATGCCACGTAGAAATACATAGCAGTTATTTAATATAAAACAGAGAATTATTCTAAAGGAACACTTGCCCGTTATTGTGTTATATATACACTTTTATAGTGTGTCTGTCTTTTATATAGATTTTTTTTTTTCTTTTTTCTTTTTTCTTTGCATGTCCATTAGATTCATTCGTTCAATTCATTATAAAAGAATACCTAATTATCGTGGATACTGGGATCGTATACTAGAACAACCCAGCAGCAATAGGCCGAGGACACCTATACCGATACCTATAGAAATCATAGAAGAACCGCCTATGCCGAGTCGACCGAAACAGTTTGTGTATCTAAAGGGAGTGCCGCTGGAAGTGCCTGAAAGACCTGAACAACCTACGAATTGCTGCATGAGGTAAATTGACATGAACAGTTTCTAATTATTCATCCTTTTTTTGGTATAGTGGCTGCGCTCACTGGTAATAGAAGAAAATGAAAAATACACAAGTACTTATCATCCTATATAGTGTATGGGATATTTATCAAGAAGACATAGACGATTATAGACATAGAAAGGAAAGCCTGATACAAAGATTTAAAGACGCAGGAGAACAAGTGCCGAAAGAATTAGAATCAGAACAAGACGATATGGAAATAATGGATCCAACCATGAAGGCATTTCTAGAGATGGAGAAAAAGCTTAAATAGGCCTTTTTCTTTCTTTTAATTTTTTGTATATTCTAGTACAATTATGCATTATATTAAGCAAGGGGAGAAGAGTAGGGGGAAATGTATACGTATGTGTGCATATAAATGTCTTTTTAAATAAAATATAGAATGAAGGCAAGAGTATGAAAGCATTTAGCTCCAAACATCTTCTTGGTATCTACCTGTGCTTCTCAAATTCTTTACATAATCCAGTGCCTTGGTTTCGTTCATTCCACCAAACTCTTGTGCAAAACGTACAAAGGTCTGATTCACGTCACGAGCCATGTTTTTGGCATCACCACAGACATAAATGTAGGCTCCTTTCTCAAGCAAGGCCCACATTTCCTGGCCGTGTTCCATCAAGCGGTGTTGAACATAGACCTTCTTTTCGGTTTCTCGAGAGAATGCTGTGATCAGACGAGAGGGCTCACCCAAGACTTTAAACAGTTCAGGCCATTCTTCTTGGTAAAGGAAATCTTCTGCTCTATTTCTGCATCCAAAGAACAAGATCGTAGGTCCTACTGGCTTGTTTTCTTTCTTTTGAAGCACACGCTCTCGAACAAATCCACGGAAGGGAGCAACACCCGTACCAGGTCCGACCATGATCACAGGTACCGTGGGGTTTCTAGGCAGCTTGAATTGAGATCGACGAACATGAACAGGCACACGGGCCATCTTGGTGTCATGATTGAACAAAGAATCACGAGGTCCGGGCAAGAAGTATTCCGGAATGCCGGTATCAGGGGTCAATCCGTTGATAGCTTCGTGTAAGCGCCAGAGATAGTTTGTATTCACACCATAGACCGTACGTGGTGATCCGTGCTCTGGGGTATACTGAAGCGTAACAGCTGTGACAGCAATCGTCTTGGGGCTTTCTTTTGATGAGGAAGAGATGGAATAGTAACGAGGTTGAAGACGAGAGATACTTTCAATCACGAGATCGAATGGTACAGAGGAGAATGCGCCTTCTAAGGGTAAAGACTCCTGTTCGGCCAACATTTGGAGTACCTCACCCAAATTACGAGTGACATCGCCAACTCGAATGCGATATTCATCCTTATCCGTAGCCAGTTTGCGAAGTGCTTCCTTCGATTGCTCTGTGGGTGCGTATTCAATCAATGACATCAACACCTGACGAGGAACGGCTGCACAGATGTCAAGGTAGTGACGAAAGACGGCACGGTAGGTCGTAGGTACAGGGAATGGGTGTTTCTTGGATGCAGCCGGGTCCAAGGCTTCGACATGGATGACCGTATCTAACTTGTCTTGTAAGCCTAAGAGTCTGGCAAGACGCTTCACTTCGACTTCATTGTTGGTTGGCCAGATGGCAACATGATCACCGGTCTGATAGGATAAGTTAGTGCCAGAAATATCAATTTCAATATGAAGACAGTGTCTATCGCCTCCTTTAAAGAGGTCCTTTGACGTAATGGGTGCACTATAGGGACGCTTAGCGTCATAGATGGCAGTTCTATATAGAACAAAGATGAATTGACCTAAACACACATATACACACATGTATACACTTACGATCCTTCTTTAAGCCATTCACCAATTTCACCAAGATATACCTTTGCTTGATCATAGACACTCAATTCATCTACCTTGAATGTCTCCTGTCTTGGTCCAGACGAAGCGTTACTTTCATCCACACCCAGGGCCTCACAAAACACAGGCCACATCTCTTCTTGCCAAGCCAAGAAATCCTCTTCAAGCGTGCCATCATCATCACCTTCTCCACGCTGACCGATTCTCTTTGCACCCAACTGCAGTAATCTTTGATCGACTTTTCTGATCACTTCGTTATAATGTTCGTAGGTCTTATTGCCGAGACCAAAGGCAACGTATCGAAGATTCTTCAATGGTTGCTCGTCACCTTCATCTTGAGAGAACGTAGGTGCTTCATCCGACAAGAGCTCCCAAAAGTCAACAGCGTTATCTGTCGGTTCACCTTCACCGTAAGTAGCCATGACAAAAAAGACCAAACAATCTTCGGGAACTGAATCAAGGTAGCTCAAATCGAACTGTTCGATATCAGCCGTCATGGAGCTCACGCCATATTTCTGTGTACACTCCTTTGCGAGACGAGATGCGAAATCTTCAGCTGTTCCTGTTTGTGAACCGTAAAAGAAGATCACTCGACGACCCTGGCAATAAGCTTAGAAGGGGCTGTTTTGCTTTCTTTTTTTTTGTTCTTTACCTGTTGTTGCATCACTTTTACAAAGTTACGTTCCTTTTTAGGTGCTTCTTGTTTGGTTTCTGGCTTTTGAGCACCATTACTACTTGATTTAAACAGTCTGTTTGTGATTTGGTGTCTAGCAAACCAGGCAACAGTACCAAGGCCAATAGTGCCTAGGAGTATTAAGTCGACTGTGTCTAAGAGATGTGAATTGTTTCTAGTCATTACACAAACAATAAGGGGAAAAAAAAAAAGAAACGAGGGAAGTAGGGTCTAATGTCTTTTTAAAATCCGTAGTGATACTCGGGTAGCATTTTACCGAATTAAATCTATTAGCTGATTGGATAGTTATGCTACAAGTGACTATTTAGGTAAATTCGATGTTGTGTCATTTTTTTTGCGGGCAGTTGGGCCGACCCAATCTTTTGTACTGTGATGCAGTCCGTAGCTATTTTAATAAAGAGAGGCTTTTATCACTTGAGCCCATTTTACAAAAAAAAATAAAAAGAAAAAATGAAAGGCTGAGCAATGTATAGTTTATTTATCATTTAACTCATATATTATCTGCAAGGAATTCAATCTTGTTCAATTGTTAAAAAAGGAAGGGGGACTTCGGGCAAGTTACCTCCTCAAGGGAAGATAAGGAATCAGTGCCGGATGTCCGTTCCGCTGTCTCCGGTAGTCCCCTTAAAAAAAGGGGGAGTAAAGGTGGAAGGAAAAGAGATAAAGAAATTGTCACTAGTCAATTTTTGAGTCATCACCAAAATAGTTAATTAACTTGTGATAGCATCGAGCGACAGCCACTTCTTCTAAGCACATTTATCAATATTGGAACGCATCGTTTAATTATATGACCAGCCTCGGGATGTTATTTAAGTCTTCATTATTGCAGAGGGCAGTCATTATACAATATTGAAGACCAAGACTGATATTCAAGTAGACTCGTTTGACAACTTTTATTCAGGCTATATGTCCCGTTAAACTCTTTGATAAAATCAAGAAATGCTTCTGTCAGTATGGTTTTCGCCTGATGATTTCCCCCTTAATACAGGATAATGCAAAATGTAAATTGTTTGTCTCATCGGATATATCAATTATGCAGCTTATTCTCATTATGTGTCAAGTTCGGCTATAATAAAAGCAGGAAAAAGCCTTGTACAGCGCATCACTTTTGTTCAAAAGCATGATGACTTAACAGCTATCGTCCCCGAAACTACATGGTATGCCCATTTATATAAGCAGGAGATGGTATTAGTCGTAGTGGTTTGAAAACGCAAAAGGTTACAAAATGTGATGTTACAAGCTTTTCATCCTTTTCTTTCGCTCTCAAAAGATATTGATTAAATTTGAATCTTTATGCATTATCTCATTTATAGCAAAGATAAAAGTAAACAAACATAGCTTCAAATAGTTTAAAATTCTGTATTATTATCAGATTCATTTAAAATCGCAGTAGCACTGGCAGATGTATCAATATGAATTGTAGCTGTTAACTAAAAAACTCTATATCAACGACTCCGTTGTTTCTTTTCATCTGCAGCTAGTTGTATTTCACAACGAGTCTTTCTGTGAGACTTATTCATTGGAAACTGAGTATAAGAACTTTTAGTTTTGATAGCGAGCAGCTTCTTATTAACAAGGTTCATAGGCTCAATTCCGTGCTTATAAACCCTGCTCTTGTCCATCTCTGTAAAAAGCACTGTATGCTCATTTTGAATGTCTGTAAGCAAGAAGAAGAAAGAGAGAAAAAGATTAAGAAACTATCACTTCAATGTTCATCAAATGTGGAACACTTTAGTGACAACCCTTTTTGGACACAATTTTTTTACACCACATCAAATTCTGAAATGACTGCATTTTCCAAATACAGGCTCTTTTTTTTTTTTTTTTTTTCTAAGAAATGAGTTTCAAGAAACGCAACGCAGAGCAGCAACCCAAATTACCTCCAGGATCACGTCTAAGTGCTTACAATGGGCAGTTATTGATATCAACCGGTGTCCCTTCCTTGGACGACATTCTAGGCGGTGGACAACCGGTGGGTACGATTATGCTGATTAAAGAAGATCGTGCCACAACCTATGCTCAACTACTCTTGAAATACTTTATCGCCCAAGGTATTGCCTCTGGACATCATTGTACTATTGCTTCACGCGATGAGGACCCAGAAGAGATGGTCAAGACGTTGATGTGGTTATCTAATTCAGAAAAGGAAGATGATGAAGACGTCAAGGGTTCTCAGGCAGAGGGAGAAAGTGATCGCATGAAGATTGCTTGGCGATATTCACATTTAAAAAGACTTGAAGGCGACGTCAAGTCCAAGCCAGGTAATAACATAATGTGATGTCTATCTTCCCATTGCTTAATTTTTTGTGGAGCTAGCTTCACCTGTAACACATGTGATTGAACAACAAGACAAGAATACAGAAGAACCAAAGCCGTATTGCAGTCAATTCGATTTAACCAAGAGAGTTCCAAAGGAAGTGATAGAGCAGGCCAAGACAAGCATATTACAATGGGGTTATGAAGGCGAAGATGATTACAAGACATTAATAGAACAGATACGTAAAGTGGTCCTTGACGGAAACTTTAGTTCGGCTATCCCTGTTGCACCCAACACGCCTCGAAATGCCTTGAGAATCGCTTTACATTCACTAGCTTCACCCAGTTGGCAATCAAAGTCACCTCATGTAAGTGACATTTATATATTGGAAGATTACATAGAGTTGTTCTAAAACAGGGTATAGGATCTCTACAAGTTTTTCCATGCCCTTCGTGGATTACTTCGATTTTCATTTGGTACAGCTGTGATCACGATACCAGCACGTCTATACGAAGATGCACCTCATTTTATTAAACGTATTGAACATATGGTAGATGCAGTCATTGAGATAGAATCATTTGCAGGTAATTTATAAACCGACATGATGTAACTCCCCCCATGGCTTAATTTTTTTTTCAACTGTAGGCGATCCTGTACACAATGAGGCTTCTTATACACAAAATTATCATGGCTTTTTCCATGTACACAAATTACCCGTTTTAAACTCACTTTTACCGCCTAGCACAAAATTATCCGTATTATCAGCAGGAGGCAGTAATGATTTAGGATTTAAACTTCGTCGTAAGAGATTTACTATCGAAACATTCCATTTGCCACCTGAAGGTGGGGTTGTCACTCGTCGTACGGAAGCTCCAAAGGAAGAAAAGGTTAATAGAAAGATTGGATGTGGCTCGACACCAGGCAAAACCGATCCATTAGAGTTTTAAATACATATATGTGTGCGTGTAAATTAATAAAAAGATGTAAAAGATAACTCAATAGCAAACAACTATGTCTCTGAATAACATAATCGGAGATAGAAATATGTTGTTATCACGGTTATGCATACAACATCAGTAAAGAAAATACAATACAGAAAGAGAGATAGTAAACAATAAACAAGAAAATGGGCTGTAAAGACAACTGGTAATAGAAAGGGAGAGAGAGAGAGAGAGAAGGAGATACAGAGAAAAGATTAAAAAAAAAGGCTGATTCGATGGCCGCTTGAATGCAACCTGCTGAACACAGAAAAATAAAATGGGCTCGGCTTTTTTCTCTCTTTCTTTCCTTCTTTCTTTCTTTTTTTTTTCCCTTTATAAATAAATAAATAAAAATGTAAGCAAAGAATAAAAAGAGTTGTGGTCATTTTATACTTATGTATTTATAGGTCTGAGCCTTATGATCCCTACATTCCTAATTCACAGCGAGGACAAGATGCATCTAATAACAAGACAGCCAGAGTTCAACAACAAGTAGATGAGGTTGTTGGTATTATGCAAGAAAATATTGATAAAGTGATGCAAAGAGGTGAACGATTGGATGACCTTCGAGGAAAGACAGGTAAAATAACTTGTAACTGTTTGTGTACATGCATTCATATGTTATTAGAGGATTTGCAGGCAACTGCTGGACATTTTAGACGCGGTGCTAATCAAGTTCGAAAGAGAATGTGGTGGAAGGATTTGAAGTGGAAGATTATTATTGCTGTAACTATTTTAGTTATTCTGGGCATCATTATTGGTAAAGTATCTATAAAAATGATATCGTTGTACATTTACTAAAAAAAATTCTTGTGTGTGTAGGCTCTATTGTTGGTACACAGGTAAATGTGTAAATTTTTTTAAAAAAAAGGCTGCGACTAACATCTATTTATTGAATAATAGACCCGTAATAACAACAACAGCTCGTAAGACTCTTTCTTGTCTACCAATAGCTTATCCTATATATATATATATATTTATTATTATATTTTTCATTAAAAAGAAGATAATTAAACTAGCTTTTTTACATACAAATATGTTTGGAAGGGTCCCGTTAGAGAATGAATTCTTCTTTTTTCTCGGCAAAAAATCAACGATAAATCTAAAAACATACTTGACCATAGAGCGCTTTGTTTATCTTTTATATGTAGTTAATCTTCAATGGCATCCATTTGATAGCTTAAAAACAACAACATTCACTTGTATCCACTTTATTTAAAACAAGCTATCATCATAAATTTATATCTTTCTTTTCTCTTTGATAAAGATGTTGGCATTGTATTATTATTAGTATTAATGTTATTATTATTGTTATCATTATCGTCACACTTCGCCATTCTCGCTCATTTGCCTTTCTATTGTCTCATGCCTAAAATTATATGCATCAGCAATGACCTAGAGGGACTCATAAGTATAAATCATGATAAGGACATATAATTACCATATCCATGTTCAGTAACGGCAGTCGATGCAGCATGGTTCTAATTTCAGATTGTTCCAAGTCTTCTACTGCTTCTTTCACACTTAGCAGAATAGCTAATGGAGGATCACATAAGGTATCTAATTTGATCATAATCAACTAACAAACTTACAAAGACAGACAAAGGGATGAAACGCAAAAGGATCAGACATTGCAAAGTAACAATCTATCAGCAAGAACATAAAGTATTCATAGTATATGAGTAATCACCATGGCATTTTATGACTCCCTTTTTTTTCTTTACCCCATAATCGAACCAAGTTATCAAATCGCATTTCTTTTGACAGCAGGTTCTGTAACCAGGAGGTAGACCATTCATGAATATCGACTTCTTCATCTTCAAAGTAGTTACATAATTCGGGCAGGCTACATCTGAAAAGAGTCATAAAATAGGCCACTTGTTCTTTTAGACTAAAGCTCGCATTGTAATCCTCTAAAAGAAAAAAGTGAGTAAGAGCAAACATGGTGACACAATCACCATAACTACCAAGTGCTTGCATCAGTCTCTCAAAGCAAAAATAAGCATCACATTCAGTATCCATCACATAGATGAAGGGAGCACAAAGTGAGACTAGACTCGGGCTATACTCTACATCACGGTTGCTATTCAAATAAGCCAAGATGATATTGACAAATGAGTTGACATATTCCTTTTCTTGAAGGATATCAGGAACTCTTCTTTGATATCTCAATACTTCTCCTCTTATTCTCTTGGCTATTTCAATATCCTCTTTATCCATCTGTTCATATTCTTCCCTTCTTGCTTTACATGAGCTCAGTTCTTTAGCTACAAATAGATGCATATGATTATTATCACTATTTGTGTTGCTTTTCATCTATTTTTACATCTATCCGCTTGTTGTACACCTAACAGGTATTTCCATACTTCCTGATAGATGAAAAGAATAAGTCATATAATTGTATATATAAAAGGGGAGAAGACATACACTGCGCAATTGGTTTGGTATACCATGTTTTGCTAATATTCTCAATCTTTCTAAATCAACATAAACTTCAGATTGTAGTATTTCTTGAAAGTCATCTATGTAGGATAGTTTATCCTCATCTTGTTTCATTGTGTGTTGAATTATGTATGTTAAAAAAGAGAGAGAGAGGGCTCAAAAGACACACAAAAAAATTTCGACGGGGAAAATCTTTGAAAGTGAGGCGATTAAATAAAAATGCTTATTGTCTCTCAAAGGTACACACACGTGCGCTATAAGCACTCATTTGTTCTTTTTTTTTTAAAGCAAGAGAAAGTAAGGTTATGAAAGAGACGACTTGTAAAGTAAATCGCTTAGTTTCACCTTGTAAAAATATATATTTATCCAAGTTTCAGCTATGAAATAACAATCGTAAACTATACAGATATCAGAGAAGCGATGATCTTGACGATATGATTGGCTATTCTGAAACTAACTACAATCAGGTTCTCCCTCTCTCTCTGTCTTTTATTTTCTCTAGTTTATTAGCCAACTTTGCATGTATTTCTTTTTATCAAATACTTTACTATTCATAGACAAAGAGCTTGCAAAACGAATACAGTTGGACTCGGAAAAAGAATAAGTCAGGACCGAGTTCTTTAGTGATAAATAAGCTTTTGTGTGACAAAATGATACACTTGGGAGTAAGATGTTCATATGCTTATGTCAGATACTAGATCGGGAGTTGTATTATTAGTGTATTGAATAGCGTAAAGATTATTGCTTTTCACTACTTTTACCAGCCCTACATGACGAGGGAAATGATTGTGTTATGTGTTGAAGTTAAAGCATCAGGATGTAAAAGTCAGTAGTAAAAAAAGAATAATGTTTGTTAGAGTGTATGCCCTATTGTTTTGGAAATGAGAAAGAGAGGGATCCCAATCAAACATATGCGTGAGCATATGGTTCTGCATTTCTATGGACGAAAGGGCTCCTCTAATGCGTATCTTTCTGTATTTCTGTTTTGTTTTAGGTGCTTCAGGCCTTCCAAGTCGCTCAAGTCTTTCAAATTCTTCTGATATGAAGTAAGTTTGTACTTTCTATTATCGTCATCCTCACTAATTGAAAATGCTCCTGTTACCTTGCTCTACTCTTGGTTGTCCCTTTGGTAAGTATCCAAATCTTTCTCTTAGCCGTCAACTTATGTTTTATCAAGATGGGTCACCTTACTTTCTGCCGACATTCTGTTTATTGGTTTCTTGAGGTTTGAGATGGTTGCTTTCATGGTATTTTTGTCGGTTAGAGGATTGCATTGGGTTGGTCCGGGTACTCTAGAGATATTGCATCGATAACTATCAAATATCACCTCAGATAATGAAAGCTGGGGTTAATATGGTCTTTCGAGAGGAGACTACGTTCTCATTTTTGAAAACATTCAACTTCGATATTTCTGGACTTAATATTTTAGTATCAAAGGCGGGCAAGAACGATTACACGGCACAAGCAGCACTTCTGTCTACATCCTATATCACTCTGCTTAAGAAGAACATGATCCTTACAATCTGTTGACAAGCTGATACTTTATAAACATTACAGCATAAGCGTTGTTTATTATTCTTTGAATCTCTTTCTCTCTAAATGTTCAGTCGTCCCTATTTCTCTTGCTTTTGAATATAAATAAAGGTTGTTTATTAAACCTTAATCTATATAGAATCGTCCTTTGGGTGATTGACTTTAGTCAAAAAGGGGAACAGGAACCAATTCTAGAGCCCATATATTTGTAAATTTTTAAGGACCAATAAGCTCCAGATTTTCAAAAAAATAATAGCACATTCGATCTCCATTTTATTTGTACTACACAAAGATGAACTCCTTTACTGTCTCCTCTCTTTCACTCTTTTTCTTTCTTCTTTTCTTTCTCCCCCTTTGATTTAGACTAAAGTCAATCTTTATTTTCCCCTTCTTTCCTCTGTTCTTTCTCCTTTCTTTCCTTTTCTTCTTCTTTTCTTTTTTTTATTACCTTCCTTTCCTTTTTACACCTGAAGTAGACACAAAGCATTAAAAACAAGATTAAAACATGAAAAGTTTAATACTTTTCTCAATTCTTTTGAGCACTTTAAGCAGTGTTCATGCTTACTATTTCATGGGCAGTTTGACAAACGTGCTCCCCTTTAAGAGCATGATGGCATCAGCACAGTTTAACAATTCACTTTATCTCTTTGGTGGCGAGAATTCTACAACTCATTATTCAAACGACCTTTATAAGCTCACACAGACATCTGATGGTTATTCATGGTTAACAGTACCTCAAAAGAACCCAATTAATGGAACAGCCGGGAGTCAAGCTTTTGTTACCTCTGATCAACAAAACTTGGTTCTCTTAGGTGGTGACTCTTTTACCGAAGCCAATGCATCTAACTATCTTCCACTTCAGATCTATACTTACAACTTTGCTTCTCAAACTTGGACCTCAAAGACACCTACCAACTTCACACTTGATAACACAGCTTGTGTCAACCGACAGGCATTCTCTGCAACCTACGACAGTAAGAACAAAGTCAGTTATATCTATGGTGGATTCGCTCGTCAGGCTGTCCTTGATACCCTTCATAAAATGGATGAAAACTACCAGACAACCTCGCTAAAACGTTCTCCTGAGGCTCGTTATGGACATACGACTTCTATTTTAAGGTAAAATCACCATGAACAAAAAGGATTGTAATACATTTTCTTATTGAATTCTGTACCACATTTATTAATTTAGCTCTGGACAACTGGTCGTCATCGGTGGTGTCGCCAGTGTCAACGGTACATCTGCACTTGCAAGTATGAGATATGTCTTGGTTTACGATCCTGTTAAGGATCAATGGCAACAACAAGGCGTTAACGCGATGAATGGTTATTATCCTTCTACCACTTCAGATCATGTCGCAGTTGTCAGTAAGTTTATCTTATTTTTACCTGTATTACATCGTTTAAACTCAGTACCATCTTTTTTTCTTTTAGACTCAAACGATCAAATCATCATCTTTGGTGGTAAAAACAAATGCAGATATATTTATAGAGATCGACACCAGATCTAAGCACTTTTTTTTGTGTGTTATTAGGCGATAGCAGAGACCCAGAAAGAACAAGACAATACCTGAATGCCATTGCAATACTTGATACCAAGACCTGGACTTGGTCTGTACCTACTATCAAGGGTATTCCTCCTTCTCGTCGTGGATTTGCTGTTGGCGGCCTTTTGGATGGATCTCGTTTGACAGTAGCATTTGGTAAATAGAATAATAGATCATCTATACCCCCTCCTTAATAACACTCCTTATTATTAGGTGGTGCGCTCAATAACTTTTATAACGACGTCAACGTATTTGATTTTAACCAAGGCTCTTGGTTACAATCCTTTAAATCATCTGAAAGTGGCGATAATTCTGTTTCCAAGGGGCTTATTGCTGGTGTCACCGTAGCTGGTGTCATCTTGTTGATAATTATCCTCTTCTTGCTCTGGAAGTTCCAGTCTTACCTTCGCTGGTTGATTGTTCGTATCCATAATGATATCTGGAAGCCACGTACAGGTGAACCAGTGTGGGCCGAAACATCACGTCTGGTATCACAAGTCTTCTTCTTGTTCATCTTTATCATGTTCCTCTACTTTGTTATTCGCCAAGCAGTCGAAAGTCCCAACGTCACCCAACGCATCGAATCCTCTTCGGCTACAGTAGATGTACCTGACGTCCGTTTCTGTTTTGACGGCTTCCCTGCACAGAGCGCCGTTCCTATCAATGGCGATAATGGCGCTCCTGGTGTGGCCTGTATGACTGATAACGGCTACAGCTGCACGCCGTTCATCCGCCCTCTCAACATGGGCGAATTTGCCCCTACCTTTGCTGACAGTCTTGGCGCCGTCAACTGTTTCCTCTTCCGTGCCCCTGACTCCTTCAAACTCACGTCTACCTCAGGTGCCAATAACGGCTCTCGTTTATTATTTACCCTCTTTGGTGACCAAGCAACTTCTTATGGTCGTATTCACCTGTCTGTGTATCCCAAAAACATGGACCCTAATGCGATCGTATACGGCATCGACGACAACATCCCTGTCTATTTGTCACAGGGAGATGTCTTTAACTGGCAGAACGACGAACGAAACGACTTACAAGCCGAGAATGTATTTACGATTCAGCCCGCAACCTATTCTTCCTTGAGTTACGATATTGTCGATCACCGTTACTTACAGCCCGTTGGCTGGAACTATGTCGGTTTCTTGCCCATCACCAACTCAACACCTCAGATCGAATCTTATTTCCGTTCAGAAGCACCTAATCCCAACTACATGAGCACACACACTGACTTGGGTATCGTTGCTATCTATCCTCACACATGGGCAAATCTCATCGACCGTGAAGTCAAGATGTACACCTTGGTCAATGCCCTTGGTTTTGTCGGTGGTGTCTTTGGTATTATTGTCGCTGCCCAGACCTGGCTCTTTGGCTACCGTCCACGTTCTCCTTGGGGAGTTGTTCATCGATGGTCTACCGGTAGCCGTAAGCAGTCTCTGCTCGCTGGTTTGCAATCCAAGTTCAAGACGACCGATTCAGGTATTCCCTTAGTTCACCCTGTTCACCACCGATTCAGTATGAACGAGTTCCAGAATCTCGGTCAGGAAACAGAGGCTCAGCGTGTCTCCCGTGTGGAAGAACGTATGCAGACCCTCGAGTTGCTCTTCAAGGCCTACTATGTGGATGATGAAGTCTTCCGTTCTCTCGATAACGCCAACCACATACTCAAGAAGAACAATGCTCAAGTTCAACCCACGAATAACAGTAATCCTTTCTTTGCATCTACTGAAAAAGTACCAACCCAGAATGATCAAAATGGGTTTGCTCACATGTTTAATGAAAGACAGAGTCAAGGAAGTATTAGCAGTGATGCAACCTCTCAACATCGTTTGAACGCTGCACCCGATGTTCATTTACGTGATATGCGTTAATAAACCCTCCCATTTTATTTCTTAATTGTCATTAATAAACCATAATTACTTCATAACGTGTCTGCGTCGTTCACTTTTAAGAAAAGGAGTTTTAACTTCTTTTTGTACATATACAAATGGCTGCTTCCATTAGTGATTCTCGACAAGAGACAACAATTACAGAGATTATCAAGACAAATGCGAACAGTGACTTCTACTTGACTTATAAATCAGCCGAGACTTGGCCAAATAAAAGAGACAGCTGTTGTCGCATGTTGATTCTCGATTCCTCATTCAACCCACCCACTCGAGCTCATGCCAACCTTTTACACAAGTCCATTCAAACCTATCCTCCTGATCACTTTGACGCTCTCTTACTTTTACTATCTACCAAGAATGCAGATAAACAGCTGACAGGCGCGACTGTCGTCCAAAGAGTGCAGATGATGGAACTGATGGCTGCCCGCTACCCTAACAGTGCAGTCGGCCTCACACCACACGCCAAGTTTGTTGACAAGGCAGCTCATATCCAGGCGTGGTTACCAGACGTCCGACTAGAACTTTATTTTATTATGGGGTACGACACGATCGTCCGACTGCTTGATCCCAAGTATTACATGCCGAGGCCCGTGATGGAGGCACTTGGTCCGTTCTTGAACACATGTCATATTATCTGTGCGGATCGAGGAGAAGGTGAAGAGCAGAGAGCGTTCTGGGACAAGCTAGAGCTCGGTACATGTTCGATTCGACGTATACAGCTTGACCCTGTTTTTGCAGCTCTGTCAAGTACGATGGCTAGAACAAGGATCATACAAGGCCAGTCTGTATTGAGTGTATTGGACCCTGATATCGCACGATTTGTGCAAGATCATCATATTTATTCTCAATAAAAAAGTGAAAAAAAAAAGCATCAAGAGAAAGTAAGTTGGGATACTTTTTATTTCTTGTGTAGATTTATATTATAAAATATCATTCTTTGATTATTGATGAATTCTTGGAGTTTCTTATTTTAAACGGCACTTGGGTTTGTACCTGATCAATTGTCGGTCTGAGGGCCTGAAGTCTAAGCACAAAGAGGAGAGGATTTATTCTGAAAAATCTTGCTTAAATTTTTATTACAGTAAGCGGTTGTATATTCTTCATCAGATCTAAAGTAAGCATTGTCTGCATGAGTGATGCTGCTTAAGCTTTATTGTATAGTTTATTATTTATTAGGTCTAGCTTATAACAATGGATAATGAAAATTGGGCATGACGCATCATATAAGTATAACATATTTTGTGGTCAGCCTTTTTATATTTATCTTTCTTCCAGTAATGATAATATGAAGTATTTATAAGGTAGGTATGGTAGATATGCTGTTTGTTGCGCAAATAGCAAAAAAGGAAAACTGGTTTATCTTTGCCTATTCTATTGTGACTTGTTTTTATTGTAATGACCGCTTCATTCATACTCCCCCTGGGTGTCATAGCCCAAACAAAAAAAAGAGATAAAGAGGACCCAGGGATATTCTCTTTTTCTTTTGGTATAAAAGATATGTTGCGAAGGTCGATAATACGAAGACATCAGCCTTTGCTCAACCTGTATCGACAGACCTATGCCTATTACCACGTGACAAATAGTGTGTATAGCCAACCGAAGCAAGTCGAAGAGGAATCACCACTGAACAAACTATCTCAAGGCATCAGCGCTTTCACATCAACTCTGTTAAATGCACCTCCTCTTCGTCGAGTAACCAAACCTAATATTGAAACACTCCCCTTTACGGGCAATGCAACCAGCTGGGAGCAGGCTATTCGAGAAGCTCAGAGCTTGGTGAATTCGGCTGACCAAGAAAGAATTTTTGATCCAGTCAAGGTTGTTGGTAAGGATCTATGGGAACTGAAGGGCAATATTACCAAGTTGCTCGGTTCGGGGCATCCATTTATTGATACGATTGGAAAACATTATTTCGAGAGTGATACCAACCGTATTCGACCGCTCTTGGTTTTGTTGATAGCCAAGGCATCGTCCCTAGCCGACAAAGATCCATCACGCGTAGTCCCTGACGGTCCGATCTCAGACACTCAAAGAAGACTTGCCGAGATTACCGAGATGATCTATACAGCGTCTCTACTTCACTATGACGTGATTGATAACAATCAAGCATCAAATGCTGTTTTTGGAAACAAGATGGCGGTCCTTGCTGGTGATTTCTTGCTTGCTCGCTCATCTGTCGCCTTAGCACAGTTAAAGAATGCAGAATGTATTGAGCTCATGGCTACATGCATTGCTCATCTAGTCGAAGGAGAATTCATGCAGCTTCAGAAGCCAAAAGAGGGCATGGATAAGAACAAGGCATTCGAGTATTATCTGAAACAAGTTTACATGAAGACAAGTAGCTTGATTGCTGAAAGCTGTAAAGCTTCTTCTGTCTTGGCTGGTTGCACAAGTCATGTAGTGAAGGCGGCATATGATTACGGAAATCATTTTGGTATCGCATTTCAGGTAATACTTGCGACCCCCTTGTATGATGACCTGTGGTGTACTAATATCATTTTAGTTACTCAATGATGTCCGTCAATTTACTCAAATAGCCGCACACACAAGTACTTCATCACCAACAGCATGGATAAATGCCCCTGTACTAATGGCTTGGACAAAATGCCCTGATCTGGGATCAATCATTGAACGCAAATTTAGTAGAGAAGGAGATATGGAAAAGGTATTCTTTTTAAAATAGTAGATAGCTGTGTGACTTATATTAAATAGGCCCGTCTCTTGGTCTATCAAACAAACGCACTCAAGGATGTGATGACCTTGGCTGATGAACATATCAAAAAAGCAATTGATTCCATAGACCATTTACCCACATCGGATGCAAGATCTGCACTTGTACAGCTTGTAAAGAATCTTCCAAGTAGACAAGAATAGAGAAAGATAATCAATAGAAGCAAGATATTTCATATTTCATTTTGTAAATAGCAAATAATAATAAAAAAAGATCATTTCATCGAAGAGAGTGACTCCAGTGATCCTCGGGTGCACTAAGATTTAACATTTCTAAATTTGGTACAATTTAAACACCACAAGCATCAGTTCGATTCTTTACAAGGGCCTCCGCAGTCTTTTTACACCTTGTATTCTTTTATTTCTAACCTTGACGCAATAGTCATTAAAAGAACGAATAAAGAAGTTGTGTTGTTTTACATTATAATCATATCAATAAAAGGTGCTGTTAAAGCATTAAAAAGAGAAACAACGGAGTCTTAAATGATTTTGTCTTTTTTCTTTCTTTTGTTATTGTCTTTTACTTGTTGATTATGCCACGATGATTGACAGGATCATAGATCAAGTGGTTGATGAATTAGCTTTGGAAGGAGAAAATGGTATATATAAAAAAGACTATATAAAATAAATGCTAACGTATAATTTTTTTATTGTCACAGGTTGTAATTTTGATCAACTGTGGATACATGTCAAGACGATTGTAGAAGAGATCACTCAAGAGTTACCCAACAAGATACCCATTAATATCAATGACCAATACAGGACTTATCTGTGGACATATTTGAAAAGCAATAAAGATGTGTTATTCTTTCAAGTAAGCCAAGCAGCGGGGAAGCATAGATAAAATGAATAACTCATACATAAATAACTCAGAATGGAAACAAACTTGACATTGATAGCTTGACTTGGACTGATATCATAGCCATCAAAGACAACATAACCATCAAGGCCTCTGACGAGATTCAGGATGCAGTTATCTATGGAAAGGCTAAGGTAAAAAAAAAAAAAAAAAACACAAAGAAAAACTGTGTATTTACTTTATCAAAAAGCACATCAAAAAGTCACTTTCAGTTATGCACAAGGCAGTCATCTCAGAGATAGCCAAACGCAAAGATAAAGGAATAACACAGTATGCATTGGGAACACTACTTAATCAGGACGCAAAAAAAATATTTCATTATCTGAAAAAGTTTGAACAAGAAGGCATCATGTAATAATGGCAACAAAATACTTTAAGCAGGAAACTTATCCCTTTTCTTTAGTGTCAAAAGAGATGCTTATGCTAAAGGCATGAATACAAACATTCTCTATTTGAAACGATTTGCCCCTCGATCAGGTCAAATAGAACCAGATAAAGAAGATATAGGATTCTCTGATGTGATTTGCACATATGATGAATTTAGATCGAAATTATTGAACGAACTAAATAATGCAAAGAATAATATGATGTCTCTCTCTGATATTGTTGATACCCTTGTAGGATTACTTCTTTTATATTTATTTCTGTTGACTTACGGATGCTTAATAGGGATTTAAAACAGAATATCAAAAGAGATGGGCACGCATACGAATTTCTTATCTGCATGATCATGGTGAAGTTGAAAAGTTTCATGCTTTTGATGGTAAAAAATTGAGAGCTGCTGTACGATTATGTAAGAAGGAGACGAAAAGTGCAGACACAAGTCATGTAATAAAAAATGCGCCGAATCCAAAGCTGTACAGAGATGTTGCTTGCGAGTATCAACTATATCAAGCTATTGTTGAGGCTGGTGAGAAAGGAATTGCTAGACAAGTAAGAGAATCTTATTAATAATTATATGTGTATACTTATCTGCTTGTAAAAAGGAGCTTGCAGATAGATTTTCTTATCTCAGCATGGACTATTTGAATTATTTTCTAACAAACATCACAACTGCTCCAAAGGACCCAAAACTAGCCGATTACAGAGTCTATAAAACTGAAGTTGTTGAAGGTAGACAACGTCTGTATAGATACTTTGCGCTCCATGGCTGGCTAAGACACAACGAAATGCTCAAAACACAGTTTGCGGAACCTGGTACGCTTAAAGACTCGACAGTAAATGGTTCACAGCATGATATGTCATTAGTGAACACGATACCACAAAAGCGTAAACCAACGGTAGATGTACCTATTGTACATACAATGATTGAAGACAAGGCGCATACGATAACTCCAGAGCCTACAAAGAAAAGGAAACGAGCATCTCATAGCAGCACCAAGCTTAGACGTGTTGGCATTCTGTTGGACATGCTGGAAAAAGAGCATGTTCGTGAATTAAATACACGGATGGTCAGTGAGTTTAACGAGCTAGAGACTGCGGCTGAAGGTGGACAACCTATAGCCAAGGTCACATTAGGCAAGCTAGCAAAGCAACTGCACGAAGAGAATAAACTCAAAATGCATGTCACAAGCATTCGCAGGTCATCAGGCATTGTCGAAATCAAGACTCTCTTGCTACATGCCAGTTTGTCACCAGAAAGCGAACAAGTAAAACGATTTATTGAAAACTACGAGATAGAACAATCTGCTAGGACTCTCTCAGTCAAACAGAACAGACAAATACTGAAAAAAGTGCCAGTACCTGAATTACCGCCTGTCAGTAGCAGCCTTTCACTTATGGAAGAAGGCTCTACGTCTGTAAAAGATAACATGGCAGCACCCTCCAGTACTTTGTATGATGGTAATATCTCACGTAATGCGCCTGTAGATTATGGATGGGTACAATCAAAGATACTACGAGCCAAAGAAATGCATAGAGACATTTTAAAGCAATACTTTGCTACCCATTCACCTCTAGAACACGAAGAGCGCCTTTTGGAAATGAGTCAACTAATTCCTAGCCTGACCATAGGCACACTAGTTAAGTTATGTGCAAGGCTTCCTTTTGAAAACCAGGATTTTCTTTCTTATATTAGCATACATGAAAACAGATCAACGCAGCTTCGAAGCTTGCCATATACCATTCGAACACTTATTTTAAAGACACCACACAAGATAAAGAAATCTATCCTTCGTATACTGGACGTGCTCGTTGCATTGGAGCTTATTGAAGTGTGTAAATCTCCACTTGGGCGCACGATGTATAAACTAAGCAAGTATGGGAAAATCAAGGACTATTGCTCGCCAGGTCATCCAATCTTGGCAACGCTTCCCATGAACAACATGAACGACGTAGACACGTACTGGAAAGAACTGCGATTTTACTGCGTGGAGTCGCGGCATGGCGAAAAGATTCATCGGAAGGAATGCATAGAACGAAACAGTCCTATCGCCAATATCATCTCAAGACGTTCGTGGGCAACAAACATATTACTGTCCAAGAAACAAAAGGAAGTATTGGATACACACATAGACTTTCAAGACTTGACTGTTCCTGTAGAGGATGTAAACTTGCGTGCTTATCTTTCAAAGAAGTTGGATATTCCGGCCACAAGGATAAGGACGTATTTTATGGCGATTGCCAAGTTGTTTGAAAGAAAGAAGATGAAACACAACAAACAAAGAAGAAAGAGCACAATCATCAGACCATCTCCAGCTATACATGAGCTTATGAAAGCATCGGCTGAAAAGCGTAAAGTGGATACAGCAGATCCGCAGATGAGACAATCGCTGCCTTTTGTCCAGCGCACCTTCATTGGTAGTAGAAAGTTCAGAAAGCTTAGGGTCCGTGTGCAACCAAAGGAAGATATGAATGAAGGTAAAGTAATGAGGCTTGATGGTAACATCGTAACTGACTCTTCTCCTTTGTAGGCGGATATTCTATGAATTATGATCCTCTTCCTGAAGTTGAAAAGGATGTACTGCTATATTCATACTGTATTATGAGATCTAGAGCCAAACGATCCCTGTTCTACTGGAGCCCAATAACAAAGGTATTACCTCACCGAGAACCTGAAAAGTGTCGACGTACCATATGTACAATGGCTCTCATGGATCATACACTCGTACACACCATCCAGCGATTGACCACTCAATGGGAGCACATATACAAGCAGGGAATAGAAAAAGGCGATATTTGTGATGACAGCCCATGGGATAGTATACACTTTGACTTGCGTGGCTATCTCGAATATTTTTTACTAAAACTACAAGAAGGCTATGAAAGGTGAACCATGAGACCAACACATTTTATTCCACTGACTAACAGCCACAACTTCCTCTAGTACGAATGATACCGCTTTTGATACTGGAGTGGAAATATATACACTGCCAAAGAGCTGCGACGCCTTGTATCGACAATTTTATATATTAAAAGAAGAGTTTAAAGATAAAAACAATGTTGACCGAGCTCCATCTCAGAGCTTACAAATCCCTGAAGCACGCGTTGGCCTTGAATATCGCCCATATTTAGATAAACATCAACAATATGAACATGAAGTGTTGGTTGAACTTGTAAAGATTCTCATAAAGGTAATACTGTGTCTTCTTTATAGACAAACAGTGGATATCTAATTTACTGTAGACACTATTGGTTATACCTCTAGAATCCTATACTCCAAAGGATGCTTATTTTTTGATGAAACAGTATCCTGAAAGCGTTATAGAGGAAGCATTCAACCAATTAAAAAGAAATGGGCTTATTGTATATGATAGATCAGCATATGGCCGTATACCAGGTCGTTTAATTAATGTTTCAGAAAAGTAAGCTCCCTGAAACCCATCATATCTTTATATTGACAAACTTGAATAGGTTTATGACTTTGGCATCAAGTGTACTTCCTCATGACCTCTTTCAAGAGGCCAAGTCGTACTACTTAAGTTTGGCAAATTATAATAGTGTCATACTAACAAAAGACATCAACTCTGGGCAGGTTGCTGCCACATTGGATCTTTTATCACAAAATAAGGTAATCATAGGCCTATTACCCACCATAGGATGCTTAACCCTTTTTTCTTTTCAAGATTTATCTTGATATGGCTGACAGAGCAAATTATATACAATCAAAACAAAGTGTAATATACCCAAAACTATCTGCTGGTATGCACATGCTTCAGCCATTGTAGCTTAGACTCTCACACTTTATCTATAGTTCCGCTTTGTGAATTGTATGTATATAAAGGCCTTGACATCACTGTAAAACGTACAGAGGATCTGCAATTACCTACGTCTACGCTCAAATGGAAACACACCAAAGTAACACCAATGAAGGATATCAACCATTATCTCACCATGATGAAGACCACCAACCCGCTGAGTCATCATATTTATATGGTGCTAAAAGAATATGGTGCATTAGGAGCATCATTTGACTGTATAAGTACCAAAATTCGAGACTCTAATCGACATATACAAAATGTGGATATAGTAACTGCCTTTGATACCCTCATGAAACACGATCCACCTCTGGTATACTTGGTTGGATTTAATCGCCTAAGATATACAGCGGCGGAACATGTTCATCATTGGTTACGCAAGGGAACAAAAGAAGACATCTACTTGGATCCTGTGATGTGGTGCGATATCTCTGGGAGCATCGTACATCCAGTACTCGATGGCTGCTGTGAGGTTGTAATGAGCCGTATCATAAAGCGACCTGGAATACAATATGTAAGAATATTCAATAGTTTGAAACGCATATACTAATTAAATGATCTGTAGTCTCAGCTTCGTGATGCCTCAATTGGACTTCTTTCAGAATATGAACTTTATACCATTTTAAAATATCTTGTAGATAAGAACAAGATCATTTCAAGGAAAGTATGCCAATCTACAAACAGACGGTCTATCTTTGGTAGGAAGAAGCTGTGTTTATCAAAAAATGAGCTACATACAGGAGAGCAGATACATTACTGGGTTGTAAATGATTACTATCTTTTATAAAATAAAAAATTATGTACATATTGTTGAATAATAAAGGGCCTTTGCTCTTTTTATTCATTCTTTCATGTGAAATTTCCCTATTAGAAACTTTGCCTAATATAGTATAGTTTAGTAACCATCACAACAAAATACGCGAAAGGAGGACATGTTTGCTTTACCCATTTCACTTATTTTGTAGAATACAGTAGTATCACAATATACGCATAAGAGATGTTTACTGTACGCGTTTGCAAGTCATTATTCAGTCTTTAACCAATAATATAGAATTTATCCTTGCAACTGGAATAATGAGAAACAAAAAGGGCATATCAAGTAAGGGTCCTTTTGAAAAAAAAGAGTACATATGCAGTCGTGTGCGTGTAACTTTAGGTTTGATTATATTCCTTTGAGCAATTGACGATCTTGCTGTACTACTAAAATAGATAAAGCTAAACTTTAATTGTACATGTATGATGTATGTTGAAGCAGTCAAGGTGGACAAATATTTGTTTCTACCCGAGTCGGTAGAAATGTCAAATATGGTTTAGCGCCATTATCATTCATTATCAGATAAGAACGTGATGTAAAAGATAGGTTAGTGCGGAACATTAATTTGATATCACTCTTGTTTCAAGCTAAGGATTCGAACCGATCTGGGGCCAAAAAGAGATGTTTTATTTGATCCTAGTCTTTTTTTTTGTAACATGTTTTGCTGCAACCAAGTCAAACTTTGTTTTATTTGGCTGTTTGTCAAATCTGAATAGGAAAAAAAAGTATTTCTGCATTAATGTCTTTTTTTTTATTTCAGACAAGATCTTTTCTTTTTCTCTTTTTTTTTTTCTTTTTCTTTATATCGAATGGATAAACTGTTTAAAAGGAAAAACAGTAGAAGCATCAAAAGAGGTGATGAAAGTGACGAAACAGGCAGTAGCAGAATAGATGAGCAAGTACATGTAGCTTCAGATAATCCCAAGTTACCGGACGATGAAGGTTCCGAGATAACCCAACTACAGCTACCAGAAATTGCGCTTACTGGTAGTCATGATACGTCTATTGGCATACCTGACCCGCCTATTCTTTCAAGGATAACTTCTGCCGAGCCTATTTTGCGTCCATCGCAAGACAGGGGCGATAAAAGAAATAATGAAACAAGCAACATCCATGAACACAAGATCGCGTCGCATGGAAGCGGCGAGACAAAAGTTGCTGAAGGTGGAGACATTACGGATCAAAAACATGACGAGACAGGCACAGAATCCCTCGTGGAAGCCGCAATGGATCAAGCCGAAGCACAAGACCGCCATGTTCGCTTTCAAGAACACGTAGCAGAATCAGCCGCCCTCGTTCAACGTATGCTGAGCGTGAGATCAGGACGGCAGGAGCCAGATAACTTGCACAACATCATGCAAAGTGTACCAACCAATTTCAATGACGATGAGATGGAAATGCAATCGCCTCAGTCTCCTATCATGAGCGGTGGGGGAGGAAGTGTCTTGGCAAGCTTAATGAAGCTAGAATCTCAACGTTATGTTAAGGATGACGGTAAGAAAAGAAAGAAGAAAGGATTCAAGGTACATTATACAAGCACATATTATCTACTGTCATACTAACTAACGAAAAGAATGAGAACAATTTAAAGCGACCCATGTCTTTGTATGACATTTCTGTTGATTCCAGCATGAATATACCGTCAGATGACAATGAGAATTTGCAGCCAAAAGCAGGGTTAAGACGTCCACCATTGCACAACCGGCCTTCCAGCTGGCTAGCTGGAGTAGCATCTAGCAAATACGTTGTCCCAAGCCTCGAAAAACGAAAGAGATCAGGTCTCCCAGCTCTATCTCGCCGGTCATCCGTCGACAGCATGCTGACAACTGCTTCACAATTTGAACCCATCACGTTAGAAGAGCGTATTCGAATTACGTTTGAAATCGCCAATATTTTGCAAAAGCAGGAGTTTTTGCGTAAACTTTGTCGATCGTTAATGATGTACGGCTGCCCTGCCCATCGACTAGAATATGCGATGCGTCAGGTGTCACGTACATTAGGGGTCGATGCTGAGTATGTATTTTTACCAAGTGTGATGCTCATCACATTTAATGATTCAACAACACATACAACAGAAACACATTTTATAAGACAGTCACCAGGCTTTGAGATGCATCGATTAGCGGATATTTACCGCTTAGAAAAATTAGTCGCTTATGGTGAAGTATCTGTAGATGAAGCATTAGAATTTATAGACAAAGTGTATGAACAACCGCCAATCTACCCTCTATGGCTACAACCTTTTGTGTATGCTCTTGCCGCATTTACCGGTTGTGTTTTGTTTTGGGGAGGTCGTTGGAAGGAAGGTGGTGTTTCTGCAGCCCTCGGAAGTAAGTCAATATAAAAGCAAGTACACATTTGCTGAACCTTTTGTTTTTATAGTGTTTTTTGCTGCAAATGAACTCTTCTCGACGATTCTTTCTAGTTTCCAGCCTATTTGGGAAATTACTGTGTGTATACTGATTGGCTTCGTTGCTCGTGGCGTACAAAAATATGGATTTTGCTTTACCCCCATCGCATTCTCTTCGTTTATTGTCGTGCTTCCTGGATACCCAATGGCTGTAGCCATCATCGAACTCGTATCTCGACAATTAGTAAGCGGTGTGATTCGTATGGTATATGCTATCATCTACTCATTCTTACTCGGATACGGCGTGTCTACGGGCTCTTCTCTGTATCTGTCAATTGACAAAGGCGCAAATACAACTCCTTCAGATGAATGTAAAGTAGCTTCGAACGCGTCGACCTGTATCTCAAGCGTTTCGCCTTGGTTCAACTTTTTGCTTGTTCCTCTGTTTGCAGTCACTTACTGTGTCTATCTCAAGGCTAAATTACCTCGATGGCCAATTATGGCATTTGTTGCTGCATGTGGTTACGTAATTAATTATGCACTTTCCTGTTGGGCTCAGGCACCTTCTCAGATTTTACAAATAGCACCTGCATTTAGCATAGCGCTTATCGGTAACTTGTTGTCTAAAACCACAGGCAAGATGTCGTTTGATGCTGTCTTGCTTGGCGTTTTCTATCTAGTGCCAAGTGGTTTAGGTGTAAAAGCTGCACTTGGTCTGTTTGGTGGTGGCGATGATAGCGTGAGTAACCAAGGAGCAGGATTTGCACTCGTCATGATCGAGACATCGATTGGTATTACCCTAGGTTTATTTCTTGCCACTTTAATTGTATACCCCAAAGGTACTCAACGTACACCTTTGATGAGCTTGTAAAATATGTTTATTTTAGAGAGACGTTAATAAATAGCAAGTCTATTTAATGCCAAGAAATTCTAGATAACACAGGGCGATGATCAGAGAAGTAAAGTCCATCATCAAACTTGTTATTCAAAACGGCATAGTGTTGAACATGAATGTTAAACTTGGGAACGTCCAGAACCAAAATGTAATCAATGCAAATAGGGGCTCTCTCTGTTTCTGAATCTCCTGTGCCAAAACTAGTAAGAGTATCTCTATAACCAAATGGCCCACTCAAAGTACCAGGAGCGCCCTTGGATGTGAGTCGAGTCACTAATTCATAGCGAGCGTCTACAAAATGCATATCGGTTTGCTCCGAGTTTTCCTTTTTTTTCAAGTTTTCGAGAATTCTGCCAGGTCTAATGACGCGATGCGTAGGAAGGGTAATATTACCTTCTGCCGTCCTGACTGGCACTCCTGTCTTATTGACAGATGCTGAAGCACAGACATTATTCAACTCTTCCAAGTTGGCAAGGGTATCGTTTTGACCCTTAGTGTCTTTATATTTTGAATTGGTTAGCACCAAATAAGCAGGATCCTTTTCAGTCGCATTCAAATCACCAAGTAAGAATACAGGACCTTCCGAGCTTGCTTCTCTTGCTCTCTTGAGCAGTAACTTGGCTGATTCCTCTCTAGAGATAGATCCTACATGATCCATATGCGTATTGAATACAGTAAATTTGGATCCGTCGTCTTCGCGTTTAAACCTACAAAAGATAGTCAGTGACAGTCGGCATGAATTTTTAGAGATATCTTACAATATCTGTGTTGCAGTGCGACTGTGTCTAGCATCCCAACCAATACTTCCAACATTCTCTGGAGTCTAGTAAAAGTCAGTTTCTTAAAAGAGGGGCACCATTCAGTGCTCTTACCTCAGATAACCAAACAGTCTTCCAGGATTCAATGTCCAAGACGTCACTATGACAGATACAATTCAGTACGACGAACCATGATAACAAACTGTATCCTTACCTCTTGTAAAAAATAGCAGAAATCTCACCTTCCTTATCACCATCCTCTCTGCCAACGCCCACCCACTTGTACTCTTCACCTAAAAGAGCTTCCAAGTCCAAAATTTGATGATATACAGTTTCCTATAGGTTTATAATTGTGCGTTAGTTCTTTTTTCTTCTTTTTGTCTAAAAGGTGAAAGGAATCATGCCTGTAATGCTACAATATCGGGAGAATAAAGCAAAATGGTATCCATCACTTTCCATTTTCGAATGGACCATGGTTGCTCTCCATAAAATTCCTTTGTGTCAAAAGGGTTTTCCTTGGTAGGAGGAGCAGCAAATGGAGTCAACGTAGAGTTTTGGTGATGGTCATGACGGACATTAAGTGTTATAAAGCTAATAGGCTTCTTTTGGGTATTGTTGGTTGACATTATACTGAGTAAAAGAAAAAGAATATAGTCTTTGTTATTAAACTCGGAGAAACGTCCGATGGAAAAGACAAAGGGCAACAGATGCAGTCATATGAACCCGTGTTTCTGAATTTTGGGGAACACAAACGTCGAATTTCACAAATCAGGAAAAGCGGGCAATGGGCATTACGAGAAATGCTACAACTGACAACAACTGACAAAAAGCAAGGAAAGAGAAGACGTTGTATAAACCCTTTGCACCTTTTTATTTGAAAATAAAGCAAAGCTCTATCTTTAACTCTTTTCTAAGCCAAATATTTGACTTTTTTCTTTTCTTCCTTTTTGAAAAGGGGGGGCAAGTGTGGCTGCCACAATAATAAAAAAGAAATACAGACGGTGCTTCTCTTTGCCTGACTTGTCTGAAATCCAACTATTCATTACAAATAGACCCTTCTTACTCCTCTAGCAGCCTCTCTTCGGTCTCTTCTTCCAGAGGCCAAGGAACGAAGAGATTGAACTATTTTCACGGTAACAGAAAGAAGGAATAGTCACCAGAAAGCTCTGCAAGTTCAATTCAAACTTGCTAACGTTAGCCTATTAATTTTATCATTGGCTTGTGTGATCAGCAATCTGAACATAGATATAGAAACATCAGCCCCTTTATTGACAATACGAACAATCTGAACATTGCAAGAGTTCTATAAGTTAAAGGAAGAGTTTGTATATAAAAAAGTTAAAAATACTAGTTGACAAGATAATAAAAAACCATTGTATTACGGAACATGTTTATAAAAGGTTATACGAGCCCTCTTGTTACAATGATGTCAATAACCACAAGCCTAGTGCTGCGCAAAGAGCATCAAATGAATAGATCAGCACATGTAGTAACAATACTAATCTGAATACATTCATTTAGACAGTCGATGATGATAATACTGTCAAACTCATTAGCTTTAATCCATTAAGCAGTATTGACAGATGGGGATAAAATGGGAGAAAGGTGTATGCCTGAGCCTTCTACCACAAGGAGAGGCACAGATCAGCAAGGATTCTGAAGCAACCCTTCATGGACATGCACCTAATGGCTTCATTCCATGAGATTCCTTTAACTAACTGTGGTGATCATGTCACGTAGCCAATGTAAGTCTATACAGATATGTGTACTCTTTACCTTCAGCCTTGTACTAATGCTAATAAACAGCACTTATGGAGCACAAGGCAAGGGCAAGAATGAACCAGACTTCTAACGAATCATTGTTAGCTTCGACAAAGAAGAAGCTAAAAGAGAACATATAAGCATCAATTATCAAGAAAAGAATGACTATGTTAAGTTGCCAAAGGCATAAGAAAAGGCTCAATTGACATGCAATTAAAGTTGAGCATGAGTTGCTTCTTGAGGGCAAGTTTCAAGTTTTAAATACAAACAAGAGATCATCTAACGATATTTGCAAGCTTTTCTTTTTGTGTATAACCACTTATCTCGCTTTTGAGTTGGAGAGAGAAAAAGGAAGAATGTCATGATAATGCCAGCGCTAATATCCTTTTCTATTCAAATTACTTTTTCCCTTCTATCTCTTTCAAAAATATCAAGCAAAGTATGGCTATGGCTCTCTTATCAATACTTTAATAACTTTAAGGGAAGTGTGGCGTAACGGGAGTGGTTGTCTTTTATCTTTGACTTTCTTCTAACATATGTATAGTTCTCCCTTAATCGCTTCAAGAAAAGGAATCTCTCGGAATAACCAACAATCGTCTCCAGTGGTCAGTTTCTCCTAATTCGCATGCCTTATCCTAATAATTTCAACTCTTAATTGCTTCTTCCCTTGGTGATCCTATGGTCTGGCTCTCTATTCTTTTTTCCTGCTAACTTTTTGCCATTTTATGCCCTCTTTGTATTCCCATCATACGTCTGTATGTTTCCGTAGGTTGATGCTGTTCGCTAGGTAAGCTTTTAGGAAGTACTGGAGCAAAGGGAAAAATGGTTCTTAAAGGCAATACAGGGAAGGTTAAAACTGGTTCTGGTTTCGCCAGCTAGGTCTGGGTGCCCAGTCTAGAAGAACGAATTGAGAGCTTATTCTGGATCGGCATTGTATCCGTGCTGGTGACCATCAAACAGAAGACATATTGTGGCCAATGTCCGGCGAGATTTACACTGGAGCCATAAATGGTTCCCCCTCCCCGCTTTGGGGTCATGAAAGGTCCTAAAGCCTTTCTAGGGCCATAAACGACCTTAGTTCCCAGCTTTAGACCATGTACGTTCTTTAGCTCTAATCTTCAGCCATGCACGATTAGGGATCCCCTCGCTTGCCACGTATGTATTCTGATTGAAAAAGCTCAAACACAGGCAGTGTGATCTTCCCGAATATCTCTCCTACGCAGTCTAAACTCTTTTGCTCTTACTCTTTCTTTGTGCGGCTTTCTAAACATTCCAAGCATCGATGGTGCTTGGTGCTGTATCAACCTATGCTTTTTTTTTTTTTTGCTTTGTATTCCCTTATAATCTATTATATTAATTTCTTATCGTCTCCCTTTTTCTCTCTTCCCCTTTTTCTTCTACTCCAGTCTTTTCTATTAAATAGTTTTGGCTGTTGTAGTGTGTGTGTGTGAAAATCTTGTCTTCCTCTTTTCTTTTTTTTGCTTTTTTTTTAACTATACGTCAAGTATGCCTTATCGATGAGAACTGATAATAAGCAACATGTTCTGCCTCTTTTTTAAAATTTTACATTTGCCTTACCTTCACGTTGTCTTCACTATTCTTTTCTCTTTTTCTCTCTACAGATAATGGTCTGATCAGGCTTGCCGGTAAGAAGAAAAAGTAAGGAACCGTGTAACAACAATTCAATTCACGAATATGCTAAATCCTCTATAAATATTAATAAACTATCAAATAGGCTTAGTCCTGAAAAAAGAAGGTAATATAAAAGAGATTAGGAGTGCTTGGGAGATCAAAGGTACGATAAGACGACCCTACAGACCTAATTTGTTTTCCGTACCATGTTACAGTGAAGGCGGCATAAGAACACTATGATCCACAGCAACGATCTTACACAAAGCTTGAATCTATCATGACTTGGTCTATTGGCTTGAGGATATGAAATAAAACGTACTCAAAATAAAACAGATCAAAATAACTGACATCCTAATAAAAGACAAATGCGACTTATTACTGTTATAGGTATATTCTTTTTTTGCACCCGGGTATCTATGGTAATATACATACCATCTTTGCTAATCTGACGTCAGCGCGAGCCATGGTTTGTATGCCGATTGTTCGTCATAAATCTTTTTCTCCTGATACATCCATCTACCACGCTTTAAGGGCGCGAAGTGTGCTTTCCAGGAAGATAGCACATCTTGTCGGACAGGCCTCTACCCTAACCGATGAAGGCTTCAGTGGCAAGTTATGGAGAAATGATTCGAGCAAATCGTAGAGGATCAATAAATTATAATCAAGTATAGAAGCAATCAACTCTGTCAAAAACAGCCAAATAATAAGAAATACTGAAAGCCATGAAGTCCATATCAGTAAAGAAGGAATACAATTTACATAGTGTAAAATATACTTGAAATAGAATGACAGCAAGAGAATCCAGTTGATTTATGGATCAAAGTACATGGATGTGAATAAAAGTATGCACGGCTGTTAATGATCTATCCAAGTATTTAATCATTGGAGCGAAAAAGGGATAAGTACAAGTAAACTCACGTGTTACCTACGCTTTATTTTTTTGATACCCAGCAACTAATATTGACACTATATAAAGCCAAATTTCAACCAGTCTTGCTTTAAGTAAGATTATTTTGTATGCATTTCACTTATTTAGTCTAAAACAGAAGATGATATGAAAATCACAAGAAATTGATGATGCCATCTAAGCACGGAGTCTGAAAACAAATCCTACCCCCTTTTTTTCTGTTATGCCGCTGCATAACCACACCTATTACATGAGATCCTGTGCAGAGAAGCTAGTTAGCATATGCTTGATTAACATATATTTGATGCCAATAGTGTCTTTATTATCATACTTGTCTGCAAGATATGCATATTGGATTTTGCTGATCATATATAAATTATTATTTCAAGCATACAAGCAACGCAGTACTTGCGGATGATCTTGAAGATCACATTTTGGTGCTATTCTATGTCATTTGTCGTATTTATTGTAATAGTACTGTAAGTGTTACTACCATTTTCAATAGAATTGCTTGCCATTTTCCAATTAGCTGATGCTTAAGCATTGTATGCCTAGCGACTACTTTTTCTAATCAAGAAAAAGATGAAACGAAACCAAGTACAGATGAAGCCTCTCAAAGACCTTGAATGGTATGAAAGAATGTCACGTCTTATACTTTGCTTATTACAATATTACACGTAGATTTTCTTTTCACTTTGTCTATGAACAAGCACCACTTAAGGAACACAATATGATGCGGATGTGGCTAGTTTAGAATACAACAATTTCCTCTTAAAGTCAGGTATGAACCTCATCAAAAATATCCTTCTCTTAAGCTGGTACGTTGAATTGATGCCCATATTATTTGGATATACTCTGCCTATGTTAACATTAGTCTAAAATGAATATGAATAAAAAATGACCTACTGGAATTTTATTTTTCAAAAATAAAGAAGACAATGCGTTTGCGAGAATTTTAAAAAAGAACTATTATGATAAACACACACCCTCAAGCCCGCCGTAATGTGCACATTTATTGGACTATTGGCATCTATGCTCTTGGTAGACAGATCTCTTACAGCTCCATAAATGAAAGCAGTTAAGGTCATTAAACGCTTTAAAAAGATATATATTTTCATTTCTGGGACTTGGGTTTGATATACCTTGAGAGTCATTCTTCGTACTAACATACGCTAATTATATTTTCCTTTTTTTGCTTTAGTGTTTGTTCCTACCTAAGCTTTCTGTTTAAATAGAATGATCCGTGATCTTCCGTTTTGATCTATTTTAAAAGAAACACAGAGTCAATTTGTTTATTTATTTTGCTATCATCCTATTCAAATTACTTATCCTGGCGTTTCCTGGGAAAATAAATGTGAATGATACTGACTTTTTCATGGCTGGGGCTCTCCTAAATATACGAAAACTGATTCTGTCTAGTTTCAATATGCATAAAGAGTTACACCAAAAGTAAAATCAACCCATATGAAAGGTCTTTTTTTCTCCTCTTGTCAACAAGAGCAGACATAAGAGATTATTATTACTTTTGACAATAATTTTAACAAAGAAAAAGGGCAGAGATTGTAAAAAGTTAGGACATTCGGTGTGAGCCACGAATTTTTTTTTTTTTTTGTTTATTTCATGTGCGTTTAGAGTGTCCTTGGTCAAACCGATAAATCAAATTCCCCTACAGATATAATAGATTTAATCTTGATTAACAATGATTTGCTATTTTCCACACTAACTTTTTACGAGTTCAAGGAGAAAGGGACTATATTGCTGTAGACACCTGGATCACTTCCAACATGAGATAAAGAAAGGGACAACAAAAAGATAGAGGCCAAAATGTTGAAGATGCCTTAAGCAAAATGAGATGTGATATCAACACTTAGAAAGGAACAAGGTTGAGTGATTACAATCATATGCTTTAGGAGTTACACTACCTAATGATCAAGCATCATAAAAGCTCTTTTATGAATGATATAGACAGGATTAGTTCAAGAAAGGGAGCTATTGTATCAGAGGTATCTTCGCCTGTATATGCTACAGTAAACACGCAAAAGGATCCGCATCAAGCCAACGGTTGATAAGCATGTGACTTGTTACGCAAAGTGCAGTTCAAAAATAACACAACACACTAACACACTTATTATGTACTGGAGTTAGAAAAAAAAATACGCCGGAAAATATGCAAGTAACACAAACGTTTGCCGGAAATTAGCCGCACATTGAGTCTTTTTTTACAATTTGTTCGAACCGAGCCTTGGATTACAATCATATGAACCTTCCCCTTTCTCTCTCTCTCTCTCTCTCTCTCTCTCTCTCTCTCTTTCTCTCTTTCTCTCCTGATATTCATTTTTACAATAAAGTCCTTTTTAAAAGAATTAGGTATGGACATGCCTTGAAAAAGAGAATAAAAGGCCAATTCATATAGCCCCTGTTCACTAACATTGTGTTCCCATTTTGACGCTTATTAGAAAAAAAAATTGAAAACAACAACCAAAGTACAACCAACTGCTCTTCCTGCTATGCACCTTTACCCGTTGATTCACGTCATCATACCTGCCAAGCATGCAGAGAACAAGTAGCAGCATCTCGCCGCAGACGTCTTGCCGAAGACCAACAAGAAGAAGCTAGCGTTGCTACTAGACCTAGAGGCAGACCAAGAAGAACAGTCGAGTCCGTTGATGCTGAAAGTAGACCCAGAGACAGGCCCAGATCTGACCATACCAACAGTATGCCAGCCGCATACATCTCACAGATATCCCGCCTTCGTCCTTTGGACCTTGGACGTATGTACAAGGAGTGTCCCCACTGTCACGCCCTACACTGGATAGATGAAAGGCAAAAGACATCTTCAATGAGAAATCCCAGCTGGGAGTCATGCTGCAAGCAGGGATCAGCCCAGTTGCAACTCTTGCCTGATCCACCTGAGTACTTGAAGAACTTGCTCGAACGTAAGGACACTCAAGGCCGTCACTTTAAGGACAACCTTCGCCAGTACAACGCTGCCTTTGCCTTTACTTCGTTGGGCTGCGATATTGTTTCGCCTGAGGATCGTGCCAACAACAACAACAACAGCAGCAGCAGCAACAACAACAATAACAATAGAGGTGGATTAAACGCCTTCCAGATCCATGGCGCACTTTGCTACCGTCAAGGCCCCTTGACTCCAGTTGAAGGCAATGAGCCTTCCTACGTCCAGCTATATATATTTGATCCTTCCTATGCCGCTGAAAGAAGACAAGCAC